CACGGACCCTGGACTCTACCTGTCCTGCAGAGCTGGAGGGATGGGTGAAGGCAGATGGTGACACGGTTGATCCTCTGCCTACACCTCCCCACTCACAGGCTGCCCCATCACCCTCTCACCCTCCTCCCACCTAGTGCTGCAGTGCTCCATGCTGGAGCTCACACACCTGCCAATCAGTGAGGGTTTAGAGCCTGTGATTAAACCCTCACATTCCAGCTCTTCTTTGCTGTCCTCACATCATATTTCTGATGCTAGATTCACACCAATGCTTCTTATCACATTTTCCTCTCCCAGGCAACATTCTCAGCCTCTTTCTTGAGTGTTGAGTGGTGCAGAGTCCCCAAGATTTAGTCCACCTGATCAGATTCAAAGCAGACCTGGGTTGTCTGTATATTATCAAGACTACAGGTTCCCCAGAAATAATTCTAGGGCTTTATCAGCTCACAGCACAGACCTAGGCAGCTTGGGACTCAGCACCCTCAAGGCCATCCTATATGTAGTGCTCTGGACAGTTTATGTTATTACCTCCAGATCCACTGTGCCTTCAGAAGCTGACCCCAGTGTGTCATGTTAACTGGCTCCTCTTTCTCTAACTCCAGAGTGAGTTTGGCTTATGGGAGACAGGACAGCAGAGGGAGGTAGTGTCGCCATGTGTGCTGCTTTGCAAAATCTATTCCCTTGGCTCCTTTCTAGCTGGGTTAAATTTCCTGGTGCCTGAAGGTAGTCACACAGTAGCCTGAAATCTCAGCCACTTAGATATTTCTTTCAGTAGATATCTTAGCTAATGGCTTATAATTATTTTACTCCATAAAGTCCTAGGACAGGACACAATTTTGCCAAGGTTTTTGCTACTTACTATAAGGATAACATTTACTTCAATTTCTGATACCTTGTTCCTCATTTCCCCCTGAGCCTTCACCAGAATTATCCTTAATGCTCTGCTTCAGCAATGAAGTCTTTTGCTAGTCTGCTTCTCCGAATTTTTCCAACCTCTATCCATTACCCATTTGCCATTAACCAAAGCTGCTTCTACATTTTCAGGTACTTGTTATAGCAACAGCGTCACTCTCAGCACCATGTTTTCTTTCAATCTCTTTCCTACTGCTATAGAGAAATACCACAGACTGGGAAATTTCTAAAGACAAGAGATTTATTTGGCTTATAGATCTGGAGACTGGGAAGTCCAAGATCAAAGGGCCATAACTGATGAGGGCCTCCTGCTATTATCTAAGCCAGAAGGAAGGGGAAGCAAACACCCAAGACAGAGAAAATGGCTGAATTCATCCTTTTTATCAGAAGACCATTCCCAACACAACTAATTCACTCCCACAATAAGGGCATTGATCTATTTCTGAAGGCAGATCCCTCATGATCTAGTCATAACTGTCCCACCTCCCAATACCATCACATTGACAAATTTCAATATGAGCTTTCTTGGGGACACGGAAGCATAGCACACACATCTACACTGAGAGTCAGTATTTCTACTCTTAAGACTATACATCAAAGAAAACAAAATGCATTTGTCCGCAAGAAAGAATTCCACAAGTATGTTCACAACAACTTTATTCCTAATAGTTGAAGACGGGAGTAACATGGATCGCCATCAGCAGGAGCATGGATCAACAAACTGTGGTGTATTTATACAATGGAATATTAGTCATAAGAAAAAATGACCTACTGATACACCAATATGAATACACTTCAGAAATAGTAATTTTGGAGAAAAATAACTCAATACAATGTTATATAATTCCATTTATATGGAGTTCCGGAACAGACCAAGCTAGTCAATTGTGATAAAAAATAAGAAAAGCTTTGGTCAGACGCGGTGGCTCATGCCTGTAATCCCAGAACTTTGGGAGGCCAAGGTGGGCTGGTCACGAGGTCAGGAGATCGAGACCATCCTGGCTAACATGTTGAGACCCTGTCTCTACTAAGACTACAAAAAAATCAGCCGGGCATGGTGGCAGGTGCCTGTAGTCCCAGCTACTCTGGAAGTTGAGGCAGGAGAATGGCGTGAACCCTGGAGGCGGAGCTTGCAGTGAACTGAGATTAAGGCAGTGAGCTGAGATTAAGCCACTGCACTTCAGCCTTCATGACAGAGCGAGACTCTGTCTCAAAATAAATAAGAAAGTTTTTATCTCTGGGATAGAAATTGTTTAGAAAGGAGCATGAGGACACTTTTCTGCATGACAGAAATTTTTTTTATAATCATTTCAGTTACTGTTGCACTGGCATATGCATTTGTCAAAACGTACCAGGATATCCTTGTATTAATATTTATGTTTTACTCTCTGTTAATTATACCTTAAATAAAATTATTACTAAAAAGTAAACAGCTAAATGGCATAAAATATGGGAGTCATTTACAAATGTAGGCTTGTATTCTGTACAGCCCAATTTAAAAATGAATCACACAAAAATAAGAAAAGACAGGAACACACGTATCTGTGAAAGTTATGGAGAATGTGAGAAGCACTTGGTGACTGAAGTGGCAACATTGAAATTTGGCATCAAAATAAGCTCAACTGATGCGTGGGCTGAAAAACAACTGAAGATCAATATCAAGTAAAGCTGTAGACAAGCAAAAGCTTTTCACAATATCTTTATATGTTGTTGAAACCATTCTGAGAACCATGAGCTGCTACAAATTTCATAACTTTGGAAACTGGGCATTCATCAGTCTCACAATTGAGAATTTCCTTTCATTTTGGCTTTCAATAGAATGGCCAGTTGGTGGATTGATTTTTTTTGCCAAGCAAGAAGTCTTCTCCCCTCTTTGTGAGTGGGGTCCGAGGAGACCTGACACTCCCCCTTTAGCAGCCTCACAAAGGGGAGTTGGGCACAGCACAGACACACGGGATTCCCTGCACGTGGGGTTTGTACTCCCTGTAAAGCCCAGCTATGGAACACCCAGTCCTGCAGTTAACGGATCCCAACTAAAGAAACCTTGCCTCTAGGTGTCCGCTTTACCTGTAAGTGCCAAAGAGGGATACAGGCTGGAGAAAAATAAAATGTTTGCTCGATATTTTTCTGTAATATTTTACAAGAGAATCAGTCGAGGAGTTCTTGGATTTTCATTCAAGCCAAAGTCATGATAATAGCTGAATTCTTCCTTAATCTACCCCAAGAGGACTCAGACACTGCTCTATGCCCACAAATACGTAGCAGAAATTCATTTATAGTCTCTTTGCGATAATTCTACTAGTCGATTATCTTCAGGACTAATTGGCACAGTTTGGTGCATCTACTAACATTTTCCTTCAGTAGTTTGTTTACTTAGGTGTTGTAGAAATTGTTCTCAATATTTTTTTTGGCCTCCAGAGAACACCTGCTTGGTGTCCAATGGAATCTGAGCCAAGGTGATGTTATCAGTACGACTTATAAACTTGTAGAATCCCAGATCACTCAAGTAGGTTAAAGCTGTTGCCTGGCGAGACCTGCAGGGAAGATGAGGTGCAGCAGAGATGCACTGGGCTCAGGGCACAGCCCACCCCTCACTTTTCCCTTTTGCTCTGAGGCAGTTGCTCCTCTGCACCTGCCTGGACACCAAGGCTGCCCAGCCAACATTCTTCAACTGTAGAGCTCATTAAAGATGAGAGGGACATCCCACCGCTTGCATAATTGTAGTTAGCCTAGCAATAACTGAAAACTGCTGCAACATCTGCGTAATATTGAATCCAAGCCCTAATTTTTCTTAACTCTTTGCCTCCTATGCTGCTCTCCCAGACTCCCCAGAGCCCTTTAGATCCCAGTGGACCACACTGCCGTCTTGTGGCCAATAAGTGAAATGTCATCACTGTTTCTTCTGCAATGGCCCAAGGAATGCTGGGAAGTGTCTGCAGAGTGAGCCGCCAGAATATTCCAGAAGTACCATGCCGCAGGTTTTATGAGCAGTTTCCCTAAACCCTCATCCCAACACTAGTTCTAACCCTGATTATTGCATTGAGTTACCAATATTAATATCGCATCCTCATTCTGAATAACTCTTATCACATAGCTCCAGTTATAGCCTTTTTCTCCCTTAAAGCTACCATCTAAAGAAAGAGGAACAGAATGAGAGGAATGAAAGAAAATAATATTTGGTTTAAAATAGGAAGAAAACACAGACGTTGAAGTATAAAGAGATTATTTAATCCGAATCACTAAAAATAAACAAATGTCCTTCAAAAATGACAGTGTTACCCCAAAAGTATAGATCAGCAAAAGATGAAGTCAAATGTGTAATAACAAAAAGTAAAATTGAAATATACAAAATGAGTCCTCTTATAAGGCAATAAGCCATAGTGGAGGGAGCAGTACCTAATGCAGTAAATAAGGATGGATATTATTAAGACCAGCAAAGGGCCTGCTACAGGAAATGATCACATTATACAATGCACATCCACTGATCTGAGCACCAAAGAGGGAAAAGATGATTCTGGAAGAGACAGAGGGCAGTGGTAGCTAAGAACACGCTGGTGCAAAATAGTATGATAAGGAAGTAAATCAGCCAGGGGACTGTGGAGTACATGACTTTTCTTTCTCCTGTCTCCTGTGACAGCTGAACTGGACCATTTTCCTCTCTCAGAATTTGCTGCTGCACCCTGAGTTAGATGCCCCTGGTATTTGCTCCACCTCAGCTTCTCATGAACGAACTCCCTCTCCCTCCTTTTTGAGCACGGTCTGAAGCAAAGGTCATCTCTCCCTTCCCTTCAATCCCACAGTACTGGGGATTGGCACAGACTTCTCAGTTGGCATTGACTTCTCTCATCGCATGCTCACATGCCTCCTAACTGTGCCATTTCATTTCCACTAGACTGAAAGTAGGATATGGGCAATGAAACTTAACACCTTTATCATAGAATGCACAAGTGACTGCTTTCAAAATTTGCTGTTTCTTTCACTGCCTTGGATTATATCTGAACAGGAAAAAAGGCACAATTTCTTTCTTTTTTTTATTTTCTGAAGTTTTATCATTTTTACAAAACAAAACAAAATGAAACAAAAATCAGGTATCAAAATCAGCAATGAGTTTATAGAATTTCTGCACCAGTTTGCACATAAGTCAGTGATTACAAAACTGGTGTCCAATGTAAATACTAATCACAAGCTGACTTCCCTCTTGGTCAGGTGGTTTGTTTTGGAACTACTGGATATTTATAACATTTTATAAGCACCGGTCATTTTTTGAGAACTGATTTGGTTTGTCCAATAAAGTAAACAATTGTTTGCTGTGTGGCAGTTTCTTTTTTAAAAAAACACTGAGCTAAAACAAAGAATGTGTATTTGTTCGGATCTGAACCAAGTCTTCTGAGATCCTAATTACCCTGAAGAACACTGAAGACATTTATAGGGCATATTAAATAGTATCTTAAATGCTAGTTGTATACCTCATCATGTCTAAGGCAGCTATTATATTTCTAAAGAAAGTAGCATTTCATTCAGAGGCTGCCCAGAGTTTGAATTACACCATAGTTTTTCTTTCTTTCTGCAAATCACTCTTTCTGATTTGCAGTTTTTTCCAAACAGAGCCATATTATTGGAACAAAAGTTTGATGTTCAGGCCCAACAAGCTCTGATATTTTATGGATACATTTGTATAGAGCAAGACTTCTTGCTCTGAACCCTGGGTGACCACAAATAAATTGAGAGGCCATGATTATTGGATGCTGAGAGAAAGTAGCACACTTAAACCCACAGTACAGATGATCAGGAGGCAAGCAAAAACAAAGCTAGAACTCGGTAGCGGTATGCACCCACCACTTACTCCAGAAACATATTTTGCTTAAATAAGGGAAATATGGTCCAGTTTTGCAATGTTAATAGCTGCCAGTCTCTCATAGTTTTTATAAATATCATTTCCCGACTAGCAATGAACTAGGAAACTGGCCTCAAATTCTGACCAAATCTCTCAGTATTAGGTAAAAATAACACAAAACAAAACAAAAAACCAGCCAATAGGGGTTAAAAATTGCACAATTAAACTTGAATGTTAATTATACTATATACAGACTGGTATAAACATCACTGAAATGATTTTGAAAGGATGAAACATTTATATTTTAACACAATTTCTTCTATATTATCCCAATTTTCATTAAAGGAAAAGTGATATGTAAGTTTCTTCTTTACAGATATGAAAAAGCAAGAAGGCAAAGTTGAGAGAAACAGATGCTACCCACAGGGCAGCGGTGGCATTTGGTTGTTTTGGTCTTTGTACCAACAATTCCCACTCCCGAGGCAGATTTCCACTTCCTGCCAGACTACACGGTTTTTCTTGCAGTCAAGACACGAACAATGGACCCTACTCCTCCAGCAGCAAGTGACTTTTCATGCCATTGCAGTAACACAGCACTGCTATTGTCAGAGGGGCTCCCAAATCCTTTATAAATACACTTCATTAGGAGATCCACACCATTCTTGTCCAGAGATTGAACTGCCTTTTCAATATCATTAGCTTTAAAAGAGATGAGCACCTTCAACACAATGCTGCCTGCCCGGTCCTTCACTGCCTGACTCTTGGTGTTGATGGGGAGGTTCTTCAGAGCTGCCTGTAGGGCAGCTGTCATGTTTCCTTGCCGCAGGCATGAGCCCACCTCGCCCTCATCGGGCTGGCCTGGCCGTCGCCCCCATCTTCTTCGTCCACGAGCTTGTTCTCGTCATATTCATCCACGTCCACCTTCCGGAACCGGCCGACGACACTGTGTTCTTCTACTTCCCAATCCCTACCAGCGGCAAAGGCCTCTTCTTGGCGCTGCCTCTACCTCAGCAAGCGGAGCCCAGCAGACCACTGCCCGGCGCCTAAGGCACAATTTCTTAATGTGACTTAACCACATAAACCTTCCCAAGTGCCAAAAACAATATACCAAGGGATTGCACTTCTCATTGGCGAGATGGAAAAAAAAAAAAAAAAAAAAAAAAACTTTAATGGAGACCCAGAATTCCAGTCCCCTTTATCCAAACATCATTGTATGGCCTCGTTCTACCCAAGAGACAGGGAGAACCATTCCTGTGCCCTGCACCTGGCAGGAAAGTCCTGCTACAGACTGTGGGGAGCTGGCCAGGATGAGTCCCGGTGATTCCGCCCCCAGAGCAGGGATTCTCAGGCGACTCTGGACAACTTCCAGGGACTGAGATGGAGAGCGGCCATACTTCATCTTGGAGAGGAGAAATACTTGGGGTGTGACCCTTCTGACCTCTCAGCCTAAAGTAAAAGCAGAGTCATTCCTAACTGGTGTGGAGCTACTTAGCTATGACTGGTGAGCTGCTTAGTTTCCTAAGAAAAATAGTCCCTGTTTCAGGGTCTGTGGGAGCCACAGAAGAATAGCAGGGCCGTAAGTGATTCACAATTCTGCTGCTTGGCCATCTCTGTTGCCAATGACTCCAGCATCTGAGTATTCCATGCAGGAAACATAATTTGTAAATAATGCACTAGTTCAGTGATCCCTTCAGGGATGTTCAAAATAGTTGTCATGTTCGAGACTGGCATGCTTGTAGGAGACACAGACCTACAGAGCAAGATAATTTGGAGGTTGAATAGAAATAGGAACAATTGAGGCCCCCTTAGATAATTGCTTCTAGGAGCAAGAGTAGAGGGTAGGTGAATTCTGAGCCCTTTTGTCCCCACAAGACATGGCATAACAGGGACATCAGAAAATACTCCAGTGATGTGCTGCTAAACTGGGTGTCTGCGAAGGTGGGGACATGGCTGGTAGCATTTGCTAATTTCTGTTGTACCAGCATCCCCACCATGGCAGATTTCAAGCAGCCAACATGGCTTCACTGAAAGGGGAGCTGGGAAGAGTACGCCTATTTACTGCTTCTGAGTCATACAAGCTGGGTCCAGCACATCCCTAGACTCAAGAGCAAAGCTTTCAAAGTTCTTCAATGCTTCCTACTCAACACACTGAAAATGAGGCCACAGCAACTATAGCAAACCTCATTATTTTTCATGATAAGATCAGAGTGTGTGATCCTGGGTCTTAGAATGGAGAAAGGGATGTTTGTTCAGAGAAAGAATGTCCAAGTCCTCTGAAGCTGCAGAGATCACAGAGCAAATAATGATGCAAATAATTATGGTTGGAAAGCTGCTAGTCTTTGACTTGAAGTAATTGTAAAGAAATGTTTCTCCTGCTTAAATTAAGAATACAGAATGATTTCATTGAGTAGAATCCCTATTCCTTCCTATTTGTTCATTAGTAACATCTCCCCTTTGCTCCTCTTGCATGTTCATTCTCAGTATAAATTGGAAGCCCTGCTCGCTTTTGTTACATGTCCTTGCAGCACCGTTTACAACTGTGGATGGTGTTCTGTTCAGCCTCAGTGTCAGAGCTTGCCCGCTGTTGGGACCAGGTATCTCAGGAGTCATGTGGAGGAAGACGGCAGCCATTGCAAAGAAGGTCTAGGAAGACAGGGCATTCCCATCTGTGCACTGGCCTTACTCAGTCACAGGAGACACAGGGCACCTGAGCAAGGAGTGATTTGATGATAACACAATAAAAAATTGGTCCAGAGTATCTCCCTACCACAGACTATCATTCTCTGGGGAAAGAAATTTGGGCTCTTTACCACCACAATTTCTGATCAGTGAATTTGGAAAGGCTGTGATGCCCCTCATAGCTATGAAAGACTCAGGGCACCTCTAACATGGCTGTGTCTGGGACACTGAGTCCCAGATTTAGAGAGCTGGTCTGTCTCCAAGGACTCTCAGAAACTCATGATCCATGATCACATCAACTCTGACCAGTGCATTCGCTTTCATAGATACAAACTGCAGCATCACCCACAGACAGGTGGAAGATTCTATTAAAATATAATCATTGTACTTCTATTTATAACAAATGCTCTATAACAATATATAATATGAGAAATAAACTAACAAGGAATAGAATCAGTATTATAAATAAAACACTTACTGAGTTAAAGGCCTCAGAAAATTTATTTCAAATCAAATGCATTGGACAGCGATGAAAACACTCCGAGTCTAGAAATCAGATTTCCTGAGGGAATCAAAGTGAACTGGCAGCAGTGGCGAATGCATGCTTCTGTCTATCAGGACAGCAGCAATGGCAAATAGAAACAAAATAAAAGATACACGTGGCTTAAAGTAGGCAAATAAATGAAGTCTTATTGTTATCATGATTGTATTTATCAAGTAAGGACTACAAATTTGTAAAGATCTTTACTTCAAACAGGAAGAGATGTTTGATATTTTGTTGCAGAAAACTTCCAAGGTGACAGGGATAGAAGAGCTTCCGAAGAAAGATGTTCCTGGGATGTAGCCTCAGACCTTCCAGATGCCTCAACATACGCATGAGAAAAGCATGTTTCCTGCTTTTGTTTTGTTTTGTTTTTTGTTTTTTTTGTTTTTTGTTTTTTGTTTTTTTTTTTTTGAGATGGAGTATCACTCTGTCGCCCAGGCTGGAGTGCAGTGGCCGGATCTCAGCTCACCACAAGCTCCGCCTCCCGGGTTCCCGCCATTCTCCTGCCTCAGCCTCCGGAGTAGCTGGGACTACAGGCGCCGCCACCACACCCGGGTAATTTTTTGTATTTTTTAATAGAGACGGAGTTTCACCGTGGTCTCGATCTCCTGACCTTGTGATCCGCCCGCCTCGGCCTCCCAAAGTGCTGAGATTACAGGCATGAGCCACCGCGCCCGGCCTGTTTCCTGCTTTTGACAACCTCAAGTATGTGGGCAGCACCGCAACCTCCAAGACCTATAGAAGATGCATGTCTGCCCTGAAGGCCGAGGCTAAGACACCCACTCCTTGCTTGAAGAAGTGAGCTGGTTCCGAGGACTCCTAGAGTGCAGCGGGCCGTGATTGTTTTCACCACCTACATTTGTAGTCACTGTGTTTCAGAAATGAATCTGTGGTCTCTTTCTACCTAATGGACAGCCGATGTCCAAATCTACTCCTTTCCCATGAAAAATGAGGATGAAAGAGAGGCCTCTGCTAAAGGTCTCTAGCAGCTGCAAAGAGAAAGAAGGACGAGGTTTGTGAACAGGAAGTAGGCGACCGTGCCACGCTGTGGCTAAGCTGCTGGCACAGAGATACACGGCCGAGTCCCCCTGCTGTGTGCGCTGGATCTTCAGAGTGGAGACGGATCCCTCGGGCCTCTCTGCCGAGAAGCGATCACTGGGCAGCCCTGATTTATCTTGTTGAGCTTCATAACTGAAGTAAGTCAGAAGCTCTGGGCCCTGTCCTAGGGCCCGTTGGTACCAATAAAGAGTTGCATGACCCGAAATTGGATCACACCTGAGAGCTACATCCTGTCCCCTCTTTGTGACTTTGTACCTTGGAGACTGGGAGACTCTAGCACCTGTGTGACCTGTGGAAATGGAATTCAGCAACAGAATAAGGGACACATTTGTAGGCATCACACAGACACACACACACACACACACCCACACACCCACACACAGAGAAAAAATGAAACTACTTTGTGTTCTGAGGACTCACCTGTCCCTAGGAAACCCAGGACCACCCAGCAGAGGAGCCTGGTGCCCATGGCAGGTCAGGCCAGGACAGGGGCGTTACCAGATCAGTGTCACTGTGAGCAGAAGCAGAGGATGACGGACGTCCTTGTCCCCACAGGGCAGTTCCCACAGTGACATCACTTCCTCTCTCAATCCCCAGGACCTCAGGGTCACAGCATTTATATTAGAACACACTTGGGTGCTGCTTTTAAATATTTATAAGCTCCCTTTTAACAACATCAATGCATTTCTCATTGCTTTGGGCTCCCATGCTGTCTGGAGCCAGAGGCATCACGCTGCATCTCTGAGTTCATCTTCTCGTCCTACAGCCGCTCCTCTGTCTGCTGGGCATGTCCTGTAGGATGTGCCAACAGCATCCCCAATACAATGCACCAAGGCATGAGCTCATTGTCTTTCCTGCAAATCAGGGTCCCCTGTGCCATCCCGATTCACTTCCCAGCCTCCTCCATTCCCCCAGTCACACGTGCCCAATGGGACGTGCCATCACATGGGTTCCCTCATGAACTGCCCTCATACCTTTCTTCTGGGATCTTTTCCCACCTTTGTTAGCTGTAATTCAGAAACCTTGGTAGCACACTCACAGCAGTCATTTTTCATATTCCCCTTCTAAAAGTTTATTTTTTAATCAATCTCACCTTAAAAGAAGGAGAATGACAATTGAGCTAGTGATTATTTTTAACCGCTATCTTGACTTACTGTTGTTCTCCATATATTCCTATGGGAAGTATTTCTCTTTTTTTCTGACTGCTTTCAAAATCTTCTCTTTGTCCCTCATGTTCTACAATTTCCCTATGACTTGACTGTCTTACTTGAGATTCATTTTGTTTCTGGAAACTCTGAATTTAGGTCCTTAAACACCTCTAAAAAATTCTCAGCTCACATCTCATAAATATCACCTCATAACATTCTAGCTATGTTATCTGTTTGAAACATCAATCATATGCAAGAAAAAATGGAAAATTATGAAAAAATATGAATATTCTAGTATATGGGAAAATCTATTTTTTTCTTCCTTGTTCTTTAATTTTGTCATATTTCACTTTTAATTTTCTGTGCTGCATTCTAGATCACTCCTGCAGATCCACCATTGATATCACTAAAAATCTCTTTAGGAGGAGCTGATCCACTGTTGGACTTTCCATTTTGTTTGCAGTGATTGTATGAGGCATTTCTAGATATATTATTTGACAACTTTATGAAAGTTGATGGTTTCAGGCATTCTTTTTCCTTGTTTCAGTTCCCCCTCATGTTCATTTAAATGTGGCTCTCCAAACTTTCATATCTCATAATGCCAAAATTTCCAGTCTTCGGGTTTGCACTTCAAACATTTGTTGCTTGTGCTCATTGTGTTCCTCGTTGCTATCTCCTAATATTCTTCACACTGGGGATCTATTTGTTCGATGGGAGTCTGTGACATTCCAATGAGGCCCGGACTGAGTGTGAACAACACTAAGAATCTGTCATTTTTACAGGCATCTCCAGTCTAACTCACAAATGTATAGGGCCTATAACTGTCTGCTGGACTCTAGGCTGCCAAATACACCCACGGCAAAGGTTGGTTGGGTCAAAAATGCTCTCAGGACACTTCCAAGGAAAGATTCAGAATAGAATTCAAATTTTCTAATTATTTTTAATAAAACTCTTTTCATAAATAAATCCCATTAAGTCCTGTAGTTATCATGACATTTTCTTCCAAGAGGAAATTACATAGATAGATAGAAAGATAGATAGATAGATAGATAGATAGATAGATAGATAGATAGATAGATAGATCAATACATACATACATACATACATACATACATACATGCACCCTCTGGGTGGAGGGACACTTCAGACACAGGATTAAAACAAAAGTTAGTCACCAGTGTCTGGAACATCTACACACAAATTGTGTCCACATTCCCCTGGGCAACACAGGTGTCCCCTAGAGAGGAGTCCAGGGACTGTGGCAGGTTGAGGCAGTTGTGTGATCCAATGCCTTTATCTAGGAGAGTCCATCCTATGCTGGATTGTTTTAAGGCAATTTTGCCAAGGTAAGAGCCTGCATTTCCCAGAATGCCATTTCTCTTACCATTCTAGGTTAGAGATGGTCAAGGATACATTTGGTAAAATTTGGAAGACAGATGTAAAACAGTCACTAGGACAATTGGTAGGTCAGACAGTGAGAGTCAGTGACCAGCAGATACAGAGGCATCCAACAGACTTAGGAAGTCCTGTTCCTTCTGCACCCTGTGTCCAGTTAATCCTCCCAAATGCTGGCAAACAGCTGCCAGGCTGCCCCCAGTGTTTGGCAGTGCACCTGCAGGAGTGGCCCCCACATAGAGGGAACAGCTTCCCCAGAAGCAGGTCTCCTTGGCCTTTTCCCGTACTCCCAGCTCAAGGTTTCACTGCATGGCCTGGCATGCTCTGATCCTCTCATGTCCCTGCCACTCCAGCCTGTCCTGCCCAGACCTCCAGAAGCCCTGGCTATTGACTGGCTCCTTCACCTTCTGACTTCTCTCCTCAAGACCTTGTCTTCCTCAGCTCCTCCCACAGATGCATAGTCTAGTTCTGATAATAAATCTGTTACACTCTCAAACTTGTAGTGGCCCTGTTTTATTGATAATAACCTAATGGAGATTTTCTTACCAGAAGTGGTTTCAAGGAACGATGTATAAGAATGGAATTCTAGAAGTGGATCTCTGATCTGTCTAGATTTGTTGTGGGGAAAGACCCTTAAGGAGAGCACAGACACCTGGAGGAGGTCAGGTGCTGCAGTGACAAGAGGAAGCCTTGAGCCAGGTGTGGTCGCCATGATAGTGATTCCCCATCAATTTCCAAGACTGACCTCAGCCCAGCATTCAAAGGGATGGGATTTGTTGTACTTAATGCTAGATCTCTGCCAGATTAAAGTAGATGTAGCATGTTCCTACTATTGGGTCATCCACTCACTCATCATTCACTCAACCTCTCGTTCACTCATCCATCCTCTGTGAAATTGGTCTCCCCACATGCCAGGCACCAATGTTGGTAAATGCAGCAGGCACAGCCTTAGCTCTCATGGGCTTAAAAATTGAGTGGAGAGGTTGGGTGTGGTGGCTCAGGCCTGTAATCCCAGCACTTTGGGAGACCAAGGCAGGTGGATCATGAGGCCAGGAGATTGAGACAATCCTGGCCAACATGGTGAAACATCACCTCTACTAAAAGTACAAAAAAGAATTAGCTGGGCGTGGTGGCGCATGCCTGTAATCCCAGCTACTCGGGAGGCTGAGGCAGGAGAATCACTTGAATTAGAGAGTCAGAGGTTGCAGCGAGCAGAGATCACGCCACTGCACTCCAGCCTGGCCACAGAGTGAGACTCTGTCTCAAAAAAAAAAAAAAAAAATTGGGGGAACCACAAAAATAATCAGAACAAGTATCTGAGAAAGCCCAAGTGTGCTAAACGTTACTAACAGACACATGATTCTACGGGAGCTTATGAGACGACAGTTGATTTCAGCTGGAAGTGAAGGGAGTGCTTCCCACAGAAGGGCTGATGATGCTGAGATCTGAAGCACAGGCAGGAGGTGGCCACTAGACAAAGGAAGGCTCCAGCCCAGGGGAAAGGAAGTGGCCTTTTAAGTCTTTGTGATGGGAAGGAAGGAGTCACAGAAGAGGGGTTCCCCCCATGGCTGCAGTAGAGGGGGCGGGGAGGTGGGGGATGGAGGGTGACTGCCCAGATGGGAAAGGTGGGCCACAGGAGAGACCACGTGAGGGTGGGGGCTGGGGTAAAACCTAGAGAGAGGAAGCAACACATTCACCAGGGAGAGACTGGAGTCTAGATGGATGTGAAATACAAATCCTGTTTCATCCTGGGGGCCCCAGACTCAGGATGATGAGTAGAAAAGTAGGAGCTGGGGAAGTCCTGGCCCTACCCACAAGGGAGTGCTCAGAGGATAGACCAGAGAGAGCAAGAAAGGAGACATCCGAGGACCTGGAGCAGTCCAGGCCTGGCTGAGACTGCCTGCAGAGGCGCCTGGCACAGAGCGAGGCTCATACTGTCTGGGCCAGTTGGGGCCACTTGGGGTTCCAAGGTTCCTGTTGCAGAAAACTCTGCCCAGGGCATCCCTGAGTCTTGGGTGGGGGAGGAGGGCAGAGCCTCCCTGCTTTCATGTGTGGAGAGGAGACGGCCTTGTAGTGCTGTGGAGTAACTGCTGGCACAGAAGTACACAGATGTCTGGGAAGGATCAGCCGACTCCAGTCTGAGTGGGAAATCCTCTGTGTTTAATCTGGAGACATTGTAGCCACTGGGGACTTCTCCTTTATCAGTAGTACCAGCAGCACCTGAGTAATGAATCAACCTCAGCCCCATGCCTGGGTCTTGTCGATACCAGTACATGAAGTTATGGTTCATATCCTGGGCACACTGCACTGTCATGCTCTGTCCTGTCTTCAGGACTTGGAATTTTGGGGTCTGAGTGACACCAACATTCACTAGACCTGCAGAGAAGAACAAAGCTGATGCTACAGCCCCAATGGAAAGGGGCTGGGCCTTGAAATCCACACAAGGGGCCCTGCCCAGGACCCACCTGCCCACAGGAGAGAAAAGTCCACACAGCACAGGAGCTCAATGCTCATGGCAGGTGCTACAGGATGGAGGGGTCTTCTGGGCCTGTGCGTTGATAAAAGGGGAACAGGACTCTCAAGGGAGTCATTCTGAGACCTCATTCTCCCTGCCTGGGCTCCAGAGCCTTCCTGTCAGGAGAGACCACGCCCATTCCCCAGATGGTCAAATTCAAGATAAATGCACCAGTGAACAGCTGAGAATGAGAAGAACACATTCGTCTGAATTGAAACAAGTCTATAAGATTTCATGATCTTTTGCGTCCAGACTTCTGAAACAGTCTAAGTAGGAACCCAGAGGGCCTTTCACTATCTATTCTTTATTCTTTCAAGATTGGCCACTGGCACCTCGAACTGCTGTTGGTATTGACAATAAAATAGGGAACAAAACATCCACAATTTCTGAAATGATGAGTTTTACAGTCTAGAGTGCAAGAGAAGTATCCATTAGTCACACAAAGTCGTGGAAAATGACAATGATGTTAAATCTGTGAATACTAATGCATATTATAAGCTGTGAGTATTTATAATAAGGAGGTGCAGCCTAGAAAAACTGTTGAAGGAATGTCTCCCTAGAGATGGTCATAGTTAAACTGAGATTTGGAGAAAGAACACAAAATAAGAGACTTGTGTTGACCCAGAGGATACAGCGTGGAGTGGAATGGCCTTTGTTGGGAGGAGCATGATGCATGAGGAATGGCCTGAACTGACACTTCTGTGGTTGACGTGGAGATGAGGATGCAGAGGAAGGGAGAGAACAGCTGGGAGCAGACATCACATGGAGAAGGCTGAATACTGACATGAGCGTGGTATAGGGAAGAAGGAGTTGTGAAGGCCATCAGGGAAAAGAACATAGACCTGTGTTGTCAATGCTGTCTGCAAATACACAATTTCAAATGAACCTTCCTTTCTGAGAGCAACTGAGGAACAGGACTTCTGAGGCCAGAGCTGCAGGAGGGGCCTGGAAGAGGGGCTGCATCTACTCACATCACGGTGATGGTCGTTCCCTCGTCCAGCTGAGACTGGCCTGGGGGAAAAGCTCAGCACACAGCAGGGTTTCACACACACAGGGCTGCTCAGAGCTCTGAGGGCCCCAACCTGGGCAGTGTTGGGGAGAGGCCTATGGGACAACATTATCCACTGCCTGAATCACGGTCTTGTGAAGACAAGGCCACCTATATCTTCCACTGAGCTTTGTGTGCAGAGGAAGGTGGCTGTGGGGTGACTGCTGGTGCAAGAGGGCACAGAGGTCTGGGAGAGGCTTCTGACACCAAGGCCACGTATTTGGCTTTGAGAGAAAGTTACAGACCCTCAGGGATTTCTCTGTAGTGCGGGCTGGGACGGATCAGCTGTGCACCAGCTTCGGCTCTTGTTAACTCTCACACATGTAGTCATGGATGACAGTCTCAGGCATCTCTGTGCCACTTCATGTCCTGCATTTGTTCTTTAGTATCTTGGAATCTGGTTGTCCCAGCTTCTGTGAAGTCTATGATAGTAGGAAGTTGAGTGCCCAGTGAGGGACCCAATAATGTAGACCTGAGGTAAAGGCTTAGGCTAGGATGTGGTGAGCCAAGGAAAAGGCTTTACGGGACTCACCTGCCCCTGGGGAGCAAAAGGCCACACCACTCAGGAGCCTGGTGGTCATAGCTGGGTCAGGGAAAAACGGGGAAATTGCGGGGAGGTTTTTCAGCTTGTGTGTTGGGGACATAAATCCTGGATGTTAGTAGAGTCAACTGGTGATGCCACTGTCCCTGCCAGCCAGTGACTCTGCCCTCTGCCTGCTATTCCTCCCTCTACCTGCTGCAACCTTCAACCTACAGTCCAGTCATAAACTTTCACCCATGTGGTCTCTGCTTTTGGCTGTCTTTCTTCTAACAGACAACAGCCTGACAAGGTTCGTGATCATTTCTCCTCTACCTACCTCTCCACCGTCAGCTCCGGGTGTCCACTTTAGGGCTCTTTTTAACAGGCTTCTTCACTGAACATATGTGCTTCCCTCCCATTCCTAGGTCTCTATGTTGTTTTTCACAGGAGATATATTTCAGGTACATTTATTCTTAGTGGTGAAAATCCAAACTTAAATTTTACTAGAATAAATTAAGAAAAACATGTGTAGACATTTATATGAGAAAGCAGTTTTTGTCTACACACAAACAGAATTGTTTTTAGTTTTTGTTGCATTAAAGTAAACTCTTTTGCATCAAAAAACACCATAAAAATGAAAATATAAGCTGCAGACTGGGGAAAGACACAGGGAATGCATGTAAATGATTTTTTTTTAATGTGAAATTTAACATTCCTCAAAGTTGCTAATGAAGAAGCCATAGTAATGACTCCTTAAGACAGCTGAGCCTCTACTGCAGCCCTGCAGGTCACTAGAGGACAGTGTGAGGGTTCTGGTTTACTGACCAGGATGCAGAAGGTGATGATGGAGCAGGGGGAATAGGTGGAAAATGTATGGACTAGTTTGTTTCCTACTTCTGATTCTTGCAAGCCAGGAGACACTGGGGAAAATGACTCAATGTCCCTGATCCTTCCATCTGTAAAGGAAGAATAAGAATGTTTGATGTGCAAGATTGTTGAAAACTTTTAAGCTATATAACAAATACAAACAATCAAGCACACGTCTGGGGCTCAGCAGTCACTCTTGTTCTGAAATTACCCAGGAAGTGACAAGCTGCAAGAAGATGCAGCAGAGAAGCAGACACTCTCAGGGCACATGAAATTTGGGCTCTGTTGGTTGGGAGAGCTCTGCGCTCAGTAGGACAGTAGACATGCCTTCCAAACAACTAAAAGCTTCCCTTGAAGGAGTGAAAACTGGGTGGGGCCTGCAGCTCTCAAGTGAAAGCTAAGGCGGGAAGTTTATATACAGAATGCCAGTGACTCTGCCGGGCTGTGCCAAGCTGCTGGCACAGAGATACAGGGCCGAGTCCCCCGCCTCCAAGGCATTCACGTTCAGCTCAGAGCTATAGTTAGGGAACTGGTGACCTGAGAATCGATCAGGGAAGTTGCCTCTCTCTCTCTCTTTCTCCTCATAATACTCAAAGATAAACTGGGGCCCCTGACCCAGGGCCTGTTGGTACCAGGACACACTGTTGTGCCCAGAGATAGGAGAGCATCTCAGTGTCACTTGCTGTCCTGTTGTTTTGATCAAATGCCTGGGACTTTGGGTGACTCCACCGTCCACTGAGCCTGTGGGAAAAGGAGACAGAGGGTGAGCACAGGAGACAGCCTGGAAACCCTCCCCGAGGTAAAGTGGAGGACACAGGGGTGGAAAAGCTGAGAATGGGGCTGCTGTCCTGTGGACAGGACTCACCTGCTCCCAGGAGACAAAGCAGCGCCCAGCAGAGGAGCCCGGGGCCCATGGCCCAGTGGGGCAGGCAGCACTGCACCTGATGCAAAGCTTGGTCCTCCTAGGGAAGAGCTGAGTGAGTTCTGCACCTTGATTTTCCTGATGGGAGGGGTATCCTGTGATGTCACTGTCCTGTGTCATCCTCATGCAGCCTTCCTTAGGCCTAGGGCTCCAGGGACCTTGGACTCTCTACCTTTCCTGCAGAGCCAGAGTGCTGTGTGAGGGCAGAAATTTATCTGATGAGACAGTTGCTCCTCTGCCTTCTCTTCCCCAGCTCCCAGGCTGCCCCATCGCCCCTAGTTCTAAATCCTTGAGGAATCGCCACACTGTCTTCCACAATGGTTGAACTAATTTACACTCCCACCAACAGTGTAAAAGCATTCGTATTTATCCACATCCTCTTCGGCGTCTGTTTTTTCCTGACTTATTAATGATTGCTATTCTAACTGGCGTGAGATGGTATCTCATTGTGGTTTTGATTTGCATTTCTCTGATGACCAGTGATGATGAGCATTTTTTCTGTGTCCGTTGGCTGTATAAATGTCTTCTTTTGAGAAGTCTCTGTTCATATCTTTTGCACATTTTTTGATGGGGTTGTCTTTTTCTTGTAAATTTGATTGAATTCTTTGTAGATTCTGGATATTAGCCCTTTGTCAGATGGGTAGATTGCAAAAATTTTCTCCCATTCTGTAGGTTGCCTGTTCACTCTGATGGAAGTTTCTTTTGCCGTGCAGAAGCTGTTTAGTTTAATTAGATCCCATTTGTCTTTTTTGGCTTTTGTTGCCATTGCTTTTGGTGATTACTCATGAAGTCCTTGCCCATGCCATGTCCTGAATGGTATTGCCTAGGTTTTCTTCTAGGGTTTTTATGGTTTTAGGTCTAACATTTAAGTCTTTAATCCATCTTGAATTAATTTTTGTATGAGGTGTAAGGAAGGGATCCAGTTTCAGCTTTCTACATATGGCTAGCCAGTTTTTCCAGCACCATTGATTAAATAGGGAATCCTTTCCCCACTTCCTGTTTTTGTCAGGTTTGTCAAAGATCAGATGGTTGTAGATATGTGGTGTTATTTATGGGGCCTCTGTTCTGTTCCATTGATCTATATCTCTGTTTTGGTACCAGTACCATGCTGTTTTGGTTACTGTAGCCTTGTAGTATAGTTTGAAGTCAGGCAGTGTGATGCCTCCAGCTTGTTCTTTTTGCTTTGTTCCTGGATATCCTTGTTAACCTTCTGCCTTGTTGATCTGTCTAATATTGACAGTGGGGTGTTAAAGTCTCCCATTATTATTGTGTGGGAGTCTATAAGTCTCTTTGTAGGTCTCTAAGGACTTGCTTTATGAATCTGGGTGCTCCTGTATTGGGTGCATATATATTTAGGATAATTAGCTCTTCTTGATGAATTAATCCCTTTATCATTATGTAATGACCTTCTTTGTCTCTTTTTATCTTTGTTGGTTTAAAATCTGTTTTATCAGAGACTACGATTGCAACCCCTGCTTTTTTTGCTTTCCATTTCCTTGGTAGATCTTCCTCCATCCCTTTATTTTGAGCCCATGTGTGTCTCTGCATGAGAGATGGGTCTCCTGAATACAGCACACTGATGGGTCTTGACCGTTTATCCAATTTGCCTGTCTGTGTCTTTTAACTGGGGCATTTAGCCCATTTACATTTAAGGTTAATATTGCTATGTGTGAATTTGATCCTCCCATTATGATGTTTGCTGGTTATTGTGCCTGTTAATTGATGCAGTTCCTTCATAGTATCGATGGTCTTTACAATTTGGCATGTTTTTGCAGTGGCTGATACTGGTTGTTTCTTTCCATGTTTAGTGCTTCCTTCAGGAGCTCTTGTAAGGCAGGCCTGGTGGTGACAAAATCTCTCAGCATTTTCTTGTCTGTAAAGGATTTTATTTCTCCTTCAATTATTAAGCTTAGTTTGGCTGGATATGAAATTCTGGGTTGAAAATTCTTTTCTTTAAGAATGTTGAATATTAGCCCCCACTCTCTTCTGGCTTGTAGAGTTTCTGCCAAGAGATCTGCTATTAGTCTGATGGGCTTCCCCTTTTGGGTATCAAGACCTTTCTCTCTTGCTGCCCTTAACACTTTTTCCTTCATTTCAACCTTGGTGAATCTGACAATTATGTGTCTCAGCATTGCTCTTCTCAAGGAGTATCTTTGTGGTGTTCTCTGTATTTCCTGAATTTGAATGTTGGCCTGTCTTGCTAGGTTGAGGAAGTTCTCCTGGATAATATCCTGAAGAGTGTTTTCCAACTTAGTTCCATTCTCCCCATCACTTTCAGGTACACCAGTCAAACGTAGATTTGGTCTTTTCTCATAGTCCCATATTTCTTGGAGGCTTTGTTCATTTCTTTTTACTCTTTTTCCTCTAACCTTGTTTTCTCACTCTATTTCATTAATTTGATCTTCAATTATTGATACACTTTCTTCCACTTCATCGAATCAGCTACTGATGCTTGTGCATTCATCACGAAGTTCTTGTGCCATGATTTTCAGCTCCATCAGGTCATTTAAGGTCTTCTTTACACTGTTTATTCTAGCTAACCATTCATCTAACCTTTTTTCAAGGTTTTTAGCTTCCTTGCGATGGGTTCGAACATCTTCCTTTAGCTCAGAAAGTTTGTTATTATCAACCTTCTGAAGCCTACTTCTGTCAGCTTCTGAAAGTCATTCTCCATCCAACTTTGTTCTGTTGCTGGCAAGGACCTGTGATCCTTTGGAGTAGAAGAGGTGCTCTGACTTTTATAATTTTCAGCTTTTCTTCTCTGGTTTCTCCCCATCTTTTTGGTGTTATCTACCTTTGGTCTTTGATGTTGGTGACCTACAGATAGAATTTTGGTGTAGATGACTTTTTTGTTGATGTTGATGCTATTTCTTTCTGTTTGTTAGTTTTCCTTCTAACAGTCATGTCCCTCAGCTGCAGGTCTGTTGGAGATTGCTGGAGTTCCACTCCAGACACTGTTTGACTGGGTATCACCAGTGGAGGCTGCAGAACAGCAAATATTGCAGAACAGCAAAAATTGCTGCCTGATCCTTCCTCTGGAAGCTTTGTCCCAGAGAGGCAGCCACTTATATGAGGTGTCTGTCAGCCCCTACTGGGAGGTGTCTCCCAGTTAGGCTACACAGGGGTCAGGGACCCACTTGAGGAGGCAGTCTGTCCATTCTCAGAGCTCAAATGCTGTGCTGGGAGAACCACTGCTCCTTCAGAGCTGTCAGACAGGGACATTTAAGTCTGCAAAAGTTGTCTGATGCCTTTTGCTCAGCTATGCCCTGCCCATAGAGGTGGAGTCTAAAGTCTGTAGGCCTTGTTGAGCTGCAGTGGGCTCTGCCCAGTTCGTGCTTCCTGCTTTGTTTACCTACTAAAGCCTCAGCAACGGTGGACACCCTTTCCCAAGCCAGGCTACAGCCTCACAGATGGATCTCAGACTGTCGCTAGCAGAGAGCAAGGCTCCATGGGTATGGGACCTGCTGAACCAGGCACGGAAGAGAGTCACCATGTCTGTCAGTTGCTAAGACCTTGGGAAAAGCATAGTATTTGGGCAGGAGTGTCCCGTTTTTCCAGGTAGTCTTTCATGGCTTCCCTTGGCTAGGAAAGGGGAATCTCCTAACCCCATGTGCTTCCCAGGTGAGGCGACACTCAGCCCTGCTTCAGATCACCCTCCGTGGGCTTCATCCACTGTCGAACCAGCCCCAGTGAGATGAACTAGGTACCTTACTTGGAAATGCAGAAAGCACCCAATTCTGCATCGATCATCATGAGAGCTGCAGAACAGAGCTGTTCCTATTTGGTCATCTTGGAACGTCCTCCATCCTTTTAATCAGAAGTTCATTCCCAAGATAACTAATTCACTCCCACAATAAGGGCATTAATCTCTTTCTGAGGGCAGATCCCTCATGACCTAGTCATAACAGTCCCAACTCCCTATACCATTACATTGACAAAGTTCAACATGAGATTTGTAGGGGACAGGCAAGCATAGCACACACATCTACACCGTGAGTCAGTATTTCTACTCTTAAGTCTATACCAAAAAAAAAAAAAAAAAAAAAAAAAAGCGTATGTCCACAAGAAAAAATTCCACAAGAATGTTCACAACAACTTTATTCACAATAGTTGAAGACAGGAGTAACATGGATCTCCATCAACAGGAGCATGGATCAACAAGTTGTGGTACATTTATGCAATGGCATATTAATCATAAGAAAGAGTGACCTACTGAAACAACAATATGAATACACTTCAGACATACTAATTTTGTAGGGAAATAACTCAATAAAAATGTTACATGATTCCATTTATATGAAGTTCAAGAATAAACAAAGCTAGTCAATGATGATAAAAATAAAAAAAGTTTTTATCTCTGGGATAGAAATTGATTGGAAAAGAGCATGAGGACACTTTCCTGAGTGATGGAAAATTTTTTTAAAATCGTTTCAGTTACTGTTGCACTGGCATATGCATTTGTCAAAATGTACCAGGATGTCCTTCTATTAATATTTGTGTTTTACTCTGTATTAGTTACACCTCAATAAAATGTATTACTAAAAATTAAACTGCTAAATTGCATAAAAGATGGGAGTCATTTACAAATATATGCTTGTATTCTGTACATCCAGTTTAAAAATGAATCACACAAAAATAAGAAAAAACAGGAACAAACATATCTGTGTAAGATATGGAGAATGTGAGAAGTGCTTGGTGACTGAAATAGGGAACATTGAAATTTGACATAAAAATAAGCACAACTGACGAGTGGGCTGAAAAACAACTGAGGATCAATATCAAGGAAAGCTGTAGATAAAAAAAAGCTTTCTAAAAATATCTTCATATGCTGTTAAAAATCATTCTGAGATTCATGAGCTACTATAAATTTCACAGCTTGGGGAATTGGGCATTCATCAGGCTCACCATTGAGCCTTTCATTTTGGCTTTCAACAAATTGGCCAATTGGTGAATTGACTTTTTTCACAGCAAGCAGCCCCCTCCCCACTTTGTGAGTGGGGTCCTGGGTGACCCAGCACTCCCCGTTTGGCAGCCTCACAGAAAGGGTTGGGCACAGCACAGACACACCGGGTTCCCTCTACGTGGGTTTGCACTCCCTGTGAAGCCCATCTATGGACCCACCAGTCCTGCAGTTAATGGATCCCAACTAAAGAAACCTTGCCTCTAGGTGTCCGCTTTACCTATAAGTGCTAAAGAAGGATACAGGCTGGAGAAAAATAAAATGTTTGTTCAATATTATTCTGTAATATTTTACAAGAAAATCAATTGAGGAGCTCCTGGATTTTAAACCTAGCCAAAGTCATGATAATAACTGAATTCCTTCCTTAGTCCACCCTGAGAGGACTCAAACACTGCTCTATGCCCACAAATACTTTTAGAGACTTATTTATAGTCTCTTTTCGATGATTCTACTAGTCAATTATCTTCAGGTCTAATGGCACAGTTTGGTGCATCTACTAACATTTTCCTTCAGTAGTTTGTTAGGTGTTTTAGAACTTGTTATCAATATTTTTTGTCCTCCAGAGAACATGTGCTTGGTGTCCAATGGAATCTAAGCCAAGGTGATGTTTTCAGTATGACTTATAAACTTGTAGAATCCCAGATCACTCAAGTAGGTTAAACTTATTGCCTGGCGAGACCTTCAGGGAAGATAAGGTGCAGCAGAGATGCACTGGGTTCAAGGCACAGCCCACCCCTATATTTCCCCTGTTACTCTAAGGCAGTTGTTCCTCTGCACCTGCCCCTTACACCAAAACTGCCCAGCCAAAATTCATCAACTGTAGATCTCTTTACAGATTAGAGGGACTTCCCACCTCTTGCATAGCTGTAGGTAGTCTAGCAATAACTGAAAACTACTGCAACATCTACATAATATTGGATCCAGGCCCTAATTTTTCTTAACTCTTTCCCTCCTAGGCTGCTCTCCCAGAAGCCCCAGAGCCCTTTAGATCCCAGTGGACCACAGTGCCATCTTGTGGTCAATAAGTGAAGTTTCGTCATTGTTTCTTCTGCAATGGCCCAAGGAATGCTGGGAAGTGTCTGCAGAGAGAACTGACAGAATATTCCAGAAGCGCCATCCCGCAGATTTCATGAGCAGCTCCCCTAAACCCTCATCCCAACACTAGTTCTAACCCTGATTATTTCATTGAGTTAGCAATATTAATATCGCATCCTCATTCTGAATAACTCTCATCACATAGCTCCAGTTATAGCCTAACTTTTTCTCCCTTAAAACTACCATATAAAGAAAGAGGAACAGAATGAGAGGAATGAGAGAAAATAATATTTGGTTTAAAATAGGAAGAAAACACAGATGTTGAAATATGGAGAGATTTTTTAATCTGAATCACTAAAAATAATAAAAAATGCCCTCAAAAATTGACAATGTTACCCCAAAAGTATAGACGAGCAAAAGATGAAATCAAATGTCCATTAATAAAAAGTAAAATTGAAATATATAAAACGAGACCTCTTACAAGGCAATAAGCAATGGTGGAGGAAGCAGAACCTAATGCACAAAATAAGGATGGACATAAGTAAGACCAGCAAAGTGGCTGCTACAGGAAATGATCAACTTGTGCACATCCACTGATGTGAGCAGCAAAGAGGGAAGAGATGATTCTGGGAGAGGCAGAGGGGCAGCAGGAGATGAGGACACGCTGGTGCAAAATAGTATCATAAGGAAGCAAATTAGCCAGGGGACTGTGGATTAGAGGACTTTGCTTTCTCCTGTCTCTTGGGGCATCTGAACCGGACCATTTTCCTTTCCAACAATTTGCTCCTGCACCCTGAGTTAGAAGCCCCTGGGATTTGCTCCTCCTCAGGTTTCCATGGATGAACTCCCTCTCCCTTCTTGTTGAGCATGGTCTGAAGGAGAGGTCATTTCTCCCTCCCCTTCAATCCCACAGTACTGGGGATTGGCATAGATCTGTCAATTGGCATTGACCTCTCTTTGCATGCTCATATGCCCCCTAACTGTGCCTTTTTTTTTCCACTAGACAGAAAATTAGATGTGGTCAATGAAACTTAACACCTTTATCATAGGATGCACAAGTGACTGCTACACAAATCATTGTGGTTTTCACTGCCTTGGGTTATATCTGAACAGTAAAAAAAGACACAATTTCTTAATGTGACTTAACCACAAAAACCTTCCCAAGTCCCAAAAGCAATACAACTACAAGGGATTCCTCTCCTAACTGGTGAGATGGCAAAATAAAACAAACAAACAAAAAATAAAGAAAAATTTGTCAAACATTTTAAAGGAGAGCCAGAATCCCATTCCCTCTTATACAAAAATCATTATATGACCTTCCTCTGCCTAACATACAGGCAGAGCCATTCCCCTGCCCTGCACCTGGCAGGAAAGCCCTGCTGGAGTCTGTGGGGAGCTGGCGAGGATGAGCCTTGGTGACTCTGCCCCCAGAGCAGAGATCCTCAGGGAACTCTGGACAACTTCCAGGGACTGAGATGGAGAGTGGCCATACTCGGTCTTGGAGAGGAGAATACTTAGGGTGTGATCCTTCTGACTTCTCAGCCTGAAATAAAAGCAGAGTCATTCCTGACTGGGGTGAAGCTGCTTAGTTTCCAGAGCAAAATAGTCCTTGTTCCAGGGTCTGTTGTTGCCACAGAAGAATAGTGGAGCTGTAAGTGGTTCACAACCTAGAGTTGCTGCTTGGCCATCTCTGTTCCCAATGACTCCAGTATCTGAATATTCCATCCTAAGAAAGAGAACTTGTAAATAATGAACTTGTTCAGCCATACCTTTAGTGATATTCAAAGTACTTGTTATGTTCTGAGCTGGCATGCTTGTAAGAGACACAGAGCTACATAACAAGAGATATTGGAGGTTGAATAGAAATAAGAACAATTGAGGCCCGCTTAGATAATGGCTTCTAGGAGCAAGAGTAGAGGGGAGGTGAATTCTGAGCCCTTTTGGCCCCACAAGACATGGCATGACAGGGACATCAGAAAATACTCCAGTGATGTGCTGCTAAACTGGGTGTCTGCGAAGGTGGGGACATGGCTGGTAGCATTTGCTAATTTCTGTGGTACCAGCATCCCCACCATGGCAGATTTCAAGCAGCCAACATGGCTTCACTGCTGGGGAGCTGGGAAGAGTACGCCTATTTGGCTCTTCTGAGTCATACAAGCTGGGTCCAGCACATCCCTAGACTCAAGAGCAAAGCTTTCAAAGTTCTTCAATGCTTCCTACTCAACACACTAAAAACGAGGCCACATCAACTATAGCACACCTCCTTATTTTCATGATAGGATCAGAGTGTGTGATCTGGGGTCTTGGAATAAACAAAGGGATAGTTGTGCAAAGAGAGGATTTCTGGCTCCTCTGAAGCTGCTGAGATCACAGAGCAAAGAGTTATGCTGGTTGGTTGGAAAGCTGCTAGCCTTTGACTTCAGGTAATTTCAATGAAATGTTTCTCCTGCTTAACTTAAGACAACAGAATGATTTCATCCGAGCAGAAACCCTATTCCTTCCTATCTGATCATTAGTAACATCTGCCCTTTGCTCCTCTTGCGTGTTCATTCTCAGTATAAATTGGAAGCCCTGCTCACTTTGTTTCATGTTCTTGCAGCACCGTTTAGAACTGTGGACTAAACTGTTCAGCCTCAGCTTGTCCACTGTTAGGACCAGGTGTCTCAGGAGTCATGTGGAGGAAGGTGGCAGCAGTTAGAGAGAAGGTTTAGGAAGACAGGGAATTCCCATCTGTGCCCTGGCCTTACTCAGTCACAGGAGACACAGGGCACCTGAGCAAGGAGTGTTTTCAGGATGGCACAATAAAAAAAATGGGTCCAGAGCAACTCCCTCCCAAAGACCATGATTCTCTGGGGAAAGAAATTTGGTGTCTGTACCACGACGATTTCTGATCAGTGAATTTGGAAGGGCTATGATGCCCCTCCTAGCTATGAAAGACTCAGGGCACCTCTATCATGGCTGCGTCTGGGACACTAAGTCCCAGACTTGGAGAAGTGGTCTGTCACCGAGGACTCTCAGAAACCCATGATCCGTAATCCCATGAGCTCTGACCAGTGCATTCGCTTTCACAGATACAAACTGCAGCATCACCCACAGACAGGTGGAAGAGTCTATTGCAATATAATCACTGTACTTCTATTTATAACAAGTACTATATAACAATATATAATATGAGAAATAAAAAGGAATAGAATCAATATTATAAATGAAACACTTCTTGAGTTAAGGGCCTCAGGCAAATTATTTCAAATCAGATGAGTTGGACAACAATGAAAACACTCAGAGTCTAGAAATTAGATTTCCTGAGGGAATCAAGGTGAACAGACAGCGGTGGTGAATGCATGCTTCTGTCTATCAGGACAGCAGCAATGGCAAATGGAAACAAAATAAAGGATACACATGGCTTAAAGTAGGTAGATGAAATGAAGTCTTACTGTTATCATGATTGTATTTATCAAGTAAGGACCAAAAATTTGCAAAGACCTGTATTTTAAACAGGTAGAGAGGTTTGATATTTTGTTGCAGAAAACTTCCAAGGTGACAGGGATAGAAGAGGCTTCAGAAGAAAGATGTTCCTGGGATGTAGCCTCAGACCTTCCAGATGCCTCAACATACGCATGAGAAAAGCATGTTTCCTGCTTTTGACAACCTCAAGTATGTGGGCAACACTGCAGCCTCCAAGACCTATAGAAGATGCATGTCTGCCCTGAAGGCCGAGGCTAAGACACCCACTCCTTGCTTGAAGAAGTGAGCTGGTTCCGAGGACTCCTAGAGTGCAGCGGGCCGTGATTGTTTTCACCACCTACATTTGCAGTCACTGTGTTTCACGAATGAATCTGTGGTCTCTTTCTACCCAAAGGACAGCCGATGTCCAAATCTACTCCTTTCCCATGAAAAGTAAGGAGAAAGAGAGGCCTCTGCTAAGGGTCTCTAGTAGCTTCAAGGAGAGAGAAGGACGAGGTTTGTGAACAGGAAGGAGACGACTGTGCCACGCTGTGGCTAAGCTGCTGGCACAGAGAAACACGGCCGAGTCCCCCTGCTCTGTGCGCTGGATCTTCAGAGTGGAGACGGATCCCTCAGTCCTCTCTGCAGAGAAGCGATCACTGGGCAGCCCTGATTTGTCTGGTTGAGCATCATTCTGGAAGTAAGTCAGAAGCTCTGGCCCCTGTCCCAGAGTCCGTCGGTACCAATAAAGGGCTACATGACCCGAAATTGGATCACACCTGAGAGCTACATCCTGTCCCCTCTTCGTGACTTTGTACCTCGGGGACTGGGAGACTCCAGCACCTGTGTGATCTGTGGAAACAGAATTTGGCAACAGAATAAGGAAAACATTTGTTGTCATCACACACACACACACACACACACACACACACACACACACACGCCTACACACAGAAAAAAAATGAAACTACTTGGTGTTCTGAGGACTCACCTGTCCCTAGGAAACCCAGGACCACCCAGCAGAGGAGCCTGGTGCCCATGGCAGGGTCAGGCCAGGACAGGGGCGTTACCAGATCAATGTCACTGTGAGCAGGAGCAGAGGATGACGGACGTCCTTGTCCCCACAGGGCAGTTCCCACAGTGACATCACTTCCTCTCTCAATCCCCAGGACCTCAGGGTCACAGCATTTATATTAGAACACACTTGGGTGACACTTTAAATATTTATAACCTCCGTTTTAACATCAATGCACGGCTCATCACTTTGGGCTCCAGAGCTGTCTGGACCTGGAGGCCTCACGCTGCATCTCTGAGTTCATCTTCTCATCCTACAGCTGCTCTTCTGTCTGCTGGTCATGTCCTGTAGGATGCACCAACACTGCCCCCAACATAGGGCACAAAGGGGTGAGCTCATTGTCTTTCCTCCAAGTCAGGGTCCCCTCTGCCATCCCCTTTCATGCCCTAGCCTCCTCCATTCCCCCAATCACGCGTGCCCAACAGGGCTGCCCCATCACATGGGTTCCCTAACGAACTGCCCTCATGCCTTTCTTCTGGGATCATTTACCACCTTTGTTAAGTGTAATTCAGAAAAGATACTTGGGTAGAAACTCACAGCGGTCTTTTTTCATATTCCACTTATAAAAGTTGTTTTTAATCAATGTCATCTTAAAAGAAGGAGAATGACAATTGAGCTAATGGTTATTTTTAACCACTATCTTACTTTCGTTTTCCATCTATTCCTATGGGAGGTATTTCTCTTTTCTTTCTGACTGCTTTCAAAATCTTCTCTTTGTCCCTCAGGTTCTACAATTTCCCTATGACTTGACTATTTGTCTTACTTGAGATTCATTTTGATTCTGGAAACTCTGAATTTGGTTCCTTAAACACCTCTAAAGAATTGTCAGCTAACATCTCATAAATATAACCCCATAGCTTTCTACCTATTTTATCTGTTTGGAACTGCAATCATATGCAAGAAAAAATGGGAAATTATGAAAAATATGCATACTATAAGGTATGGGAAATATCCATTTTTTTCTTCCCTATTCTTAACGTCTTTTGTATTTCACTTTTAATTTTCTGTGCTGCATTCTAGATCACTCCTGCAGATCCATCTTTGACATCACTAAAAATCTCTTTAGGAGGAGCTGATCAACTGTTTGACTTTCCATTTTGTTTTCAGTGATTGTATGCGGCATTTCTAGACATATTATTTGACAATTTTTATGAAAGTTACTTGATGGTTTCATACATTCTCTTTTTCCTTGTTTCAGTTTCCCCTCATGTTCATTTAAATGTAGCTCTCCAAACTTTCATATCTCATAATGCCAAAATTTCGAGTCTTTGGGTTTGCACTTCAAAAATTGTTTGTTGGTGTTGACTTTTCCTTATGGCTATCTCCTAATATTCTTCACGTTGGGAATATGTTTGTTTGATGGTGGTCTGTGACATTCCAGAGAGGCCCGGACTGAGAGTGAACAACACAAAGAGTCTGTCATGGTTACAGGCATCTCTAGTCTAACTCGCAAATGTATGGGGCCAGGAACTGTCTGCTGCACTCCGGGCTGCCAAATACACCCACAACATAAGTTGGTAGAGTCAAAAATGCTCTCTGGACAGTCCCAATGAAAGATTCCGAATAGAATTCAAATTTTCTAATTCTCTTTAGAAAAACTCTTTTTATAAATAAATCCCATTAAGCCATGTAGTCATCATGACATTTTCTTCCAAGGGGAAATTACATATATTTATATGTACATATATGTATGAGTGTGTGTATATATACACACATATATATGCATCTCTGTGTGTGTGCATTTGTATGAATTTGTGTGTGCATACATATACACACACACACATATATATATACACATATATATTTATTATAAAAATGGCCAAACCTATGGATATGCCTTCTTCTTTCCTTTTTTTTCTGAAACCCAAAACTTATAAAAATAACATAGATATCAGAATTATATTATATTTGTAGACTTGACACTATTTTTTTTTTAGTCAGAGTCTTGCTATGTTGCCCAGGTTGCAGTGCAGTGGCATCATCTTGGCTCACTGCCACCTCCACCTCTGAGGTTCAAGTGATTCTCCTGGCCCAGCCTCCCAAGTAGCTGGGACTACAGGCACTCACCACCACACCTGGCTAATCTTTTTGTATTTTTAGTAGAGACAGGATTTCACCATATTGGCCAGGCTGGTCTCGAACTACTGACTTTGTGATCAGCCTGCCTCGGCCTCCCAAAGTGCTGGGATTATAGGCACGAGCCACTGTACCTGGCCTGACTTCAAATTTAAAAGCATAACTTATTTCAAATTGGAAATTCCCATACAAAGTGACAAATGAGCTTGAAGAAGTGAATGCTCTTATGCTTGCTCAATAGGAGAATACTAGTCTATAAACCCAGAGAAAACCATCTCAGGCATAGTGTGACTTACTAACGCTCATCTATTCTGTGCCCAGGACACTGGGAACTTCCACATGAAAAACACTAGGACCTAAAGTTCTGGCATCAAAGATTTCTTTTACCATTGTCCAATTTAAGACACTGATGGAAGTAAAGTACTCAGTTTACCATTTAGGTCCAACTTATACAAAGAAAAATGAATATTCTTTACTCTGAAATCATATGTTCTCCTCTGAGTAAATTAAAAGGTGACATAAATCATGAATTAAGCCTACTGGGCTAGACTGGGCTGGGAGAAGACAGAGCTTTTTTCTGGAAAGGCTAAGTTTCCAGGCTTGGCCAATGTGGTGCTGGAAGCAGGCTGGCATGCGAAGATTTTTCCTTGTTGGAAGATGCTGGGGTGTGTGATATCCTGTGTACTCAGCTGATCTGGGGGAAAGGTGGTCAGGCGTGTAATACGAGGGACCAATTGTTGTCAGCAGGATTGTCCTGGGAAGTTGTCTTTCAACCATCTGAGACATGTTTTGGGCTCTTTGGCCCTCTCTGCTCTGTCCTGTTTGGGGGCCAGGTCTCTACATGGAGAGAAGGCACCTCTACCACACAGTATTCTTTCCATCTTCACAGAAATGCAGGGCAATTTCTGCAGATCTGAGGATTTCACTTCGGGTTTGCCATCAGATCATTGAGCTGATCAGCTACAAATTCATGAAGCACATTTCTCATACTGCGGAGCTCAAAGGGAGACCAGAGCACTTGCTTCGGTTACAAAAGAACTGGGTCCAGGAAGGCAACAAGACGTGAGATTCCCTCCCACTGTCTCCACAGATCACTGCACTCTGACCAGGGGTCTGATGTCCATGCAATTCCATCAGGAGGGAAGCTCAGGAAAGAGATAAAAGAAGGAGGCAGAACCCTGCCTCTAGGTGGAGGGAGACAGTATTAAAAAAAAAAAAAAAGTTAGTAGCCAGTGTCTGGAACATCTACATACAAATTGTGTCCACATTCACCTGGGCAGCACAGGTGTCCCCCGGAGAGGAGTCCGGGGACTGTGGAAGGTTGAGACAGTTGTGTGATTTGATGCCTTAATCTGGGAGAATCCCTCCTGTGCTGGATTGTGTTAAATTAACTTTGCAAAGGCAAGACAAGAATGCCATTTCTCTTATTCTGGGTTAGAGATGGTCAAACATACATTTGGTAAAAATTTTTAGATAGATGTAAAACAGGCACTATTATACTTGGCAGGTCATTGTGGTCGTAGAGTGAGAGTCAGTGACCAGAGGACACAGAGGCATCCAACAGACCTAGGAAGTCCTATTCTTCTGCACCCTGTGTCCAGTTCATCTTCCCAAATGCTGACCAAGAGCAGCCAGGCTGCCCCCAGTGTTTGGCAGTAAACCTGCAGGGGTGGGCCCCACACAGAGGGAACAGCTTTCCCAAAAACAGATTTCCCTGGACTTTTCCTGTGCTCCCGGCTCAAGGTCCCACTTCATGGCCTGGCATGCTCTGATCCTCCCATGTCCCTGACACTCCAGCCTGTCCTGCCCAGAGCTCCAGGAGCCCTGGCTGCTGACTGGCTCCCTCACCTTCTGACTTCTCTCCTCCAGACCTTCTCTTCCTCAGCTCCTGCCACATATGAAGTCTAATTCTGATCATAAATACATTAAACTGTCCAATTTGTAGTGGCCCTGTTTTATTGATGTAAACCTAATGGAGATTTTCTTACAAGAAGTGGTTTCGAGGAACAACCTTTAAGGATGGTATTCTAGAAGTGGATCTCTGATCCGTCTCGATTTGTTGTGGGGTCTTGTGCCTCAACCACAAGAGGAAGCCTTGACCCAGGTGTGGCCACCATGATGGTGATTCCCCCATCAATTTCCAAGACCAACCTGGGCTAGCAATCAAACGGGTGAGTTTTCTTGTACTTAATGCTAGATCTCTGCCAGGTTACAGTAGATGTAGCGTGTTCCTGCTATTGGTTCGTCCACCCACTCATCACTCACTCACCCTGTCATTCACTCATCCATTCTCTGTGAAATGGGTCTCCCCACATGCCAGGCACCGATGTTGCTAAATGCAGCAAGCACCGTTTTAGCTCTCATGGGCTTAAAAATTGGGTGAGAGGCCGGGCGTGGTGGCTCATGCCTATATCCCAGCACTGTGGGAGCCCGAGATGGGCAGATCATGAGGCCCAGAGATTAACACCATCCTGGCCAACATGGTGAAACCCTGTCTCTACTAAAAATACAAACAAGAATTAGCTAATTCTGGTGGTGCGTACCTGTAATCCCGGCTACTTGGGAGGCTGAGGCAGAATTGCTTGAACCAGAGAGTCGGAGATTGCAGTGAGCTGAGCACACCACCGCACTCTAGCCTGGCAAAAGAGCGAGACTCTGTCTCAAAAAAAAAAAAAAAAAGAAAAGAAAAGAAAAGAAAAAGAAAAAGGGAAAAGAAAGAAAGAAAAGAAAGAAAGAAAAGAAATCAAAAGAAAATTTTAAAAATGGGTGGAGCACAAAAATAATCAGACAAGTATCTGAGAAAGCCCAACGGTGCTAAAGGTTAGTAACAGACATCTGATTCTATGAGAGCTTAGGAGAGGAAAGTTGATCTCAGCTGGGAGGGGAGGGAGTGCTTCCCACAGGAGGGCTGATCATGGTGAGATCTGAAGCACAGGTAGGAGCTGGCCACTAGAGGAAGGAAGGCTCCAGCCCAGGGCAGAGAAAATGGCCGCTGAAGACTCTGTGATTGGAAGGAAGGAGTCACAGAAGAGGGGCTCCCCTCATGGCTGCAGTAGAGAGGGGCGGGGAGGTGAGGGGAGGAAAAATCCAGCAGGGCCCTGGAGGATGACTGCCCAGATGGGAAAGGTGGGCTACAGGTGAGACCACGTGAGGGTGGGGGCTGGGAGAAACCCTAGAGAGAGGAAGCCACACGCTCACCAGGGAGAGACAGGAGTCTAGATGGATCTGAAATACAAATCCTGTTTCATTATGGGGCCCTCGGACTCAGGATGATGAGTACAAAAGTAGGAGCTGGGGAAGCCCCAGTCCCGACCCAAAATCATAGCTCTGAGGAAAGATCAGAGAGAGCAACAAAGGAGACATCTGAGGACCAGTCCAGGCCTGGCTGAGACTGCCTGCAGAGACACCTGACATAGAGCGAGCTCATGCTGTCCGGGCCACTTGGGGTTCCAAGGTTCCTGGTGCAGAAAATTCCGCCCAGGTCATCCCTGAGTTTTGGGTGGTGGAGGAGGGCAGAGCCGCCCTACTTTTATGTGCAGAGAGGAGACGGCCTTGCAGCGCTGTGGAGTAACTGCTGGCACAGAACTACACAGATATCTGGGAGGGAGCAGCCGACTCCAGCCTGAGCGGGAAATCCTCTGTGTTTAATCTGGAGACATTGTAGCCACTGGGGGCTTCTCCTTTGTCAGTGACACCAGCAGCAGCTGAGTAACGAATCAGCCTCAGACCCATGCCTGGGTCTTGTGGATACCAGTAACTGGAGTTATGGCTCATATCCTGGGCACACTGCACTGTCATGCTCTGTCCTGTCTTCAGGACCTGGAATTTTGGGGTCTGAGTGACACCAGCATTCACTGGACCTGCAGAGAAGGACAAAGCTGATGCTGCAGCCCCAATGGGAAGGCGCTGGGCCGTGAAATCCACACAAGGGGCCCTGCCCAGGAGCCACCTGCCCACAGGAGAGAAAAGGCCGCACAGCACAGGAGCTCAATGCTCATGGCAGGTGCTACAGGACGGAGGGGTCTTCCGGGCCTGTGTGTTGATAAAAGGGGAACAGAGCTCTCAAGGCAGTCATTCTGAGATGTCATTCTCCCTGCCTGGGCCCCAGAGCCTTCCTGTCAGGAGAGGCCACGCCTCTTCCCCAGTTGGTCAAATCCAAAATCAATGCACCAGTAAACAGCTGAGAATGAGAAGAACACATTTGTGTGAATTGAAACAAGTATCCAAGATTTTCATGACCTTTTGTAAACAGTTTGAAATTCAATGTTCATTTTATTTCTTCAATGATATAATTAATATTCTAGTGTTAGTTATCTACATAGTGCTGTAGTCTAGAGTCTTAAGGAAGCTCCCCACGTCTTCCTGGTGTTTTTGACTCCTGTGTCCCAAATACTCCTTCAAGTATCCTTTTGTAATTTGCTTAATTGACCTTAATCCTGTTTAAAATCCTTTGTCTATATTGGTTTTCTCTGCTTTCACGTTTCCAAGTCCCAGGGGCAGGCTCATCAACATTGGAGGAGTCGTTTTGCTCTGTTTCTTGTCCATTCACTGATAGATGGGACTCCTGACAAACCCAGCTGAGCACCTTCAGGTCAACCCAGGACTCTTGCTTTCCATGCCTGGGGTGAGACACCAGCAGGCAGAACCACCTCACGCTGCTGACTGCCCTCTCTGTGTGGACGATGATGACCACCCAGTGCTGCCCATGATCTGTGGGCACAAAGGTGGCCTGATGCATGAGGGATTGGGGAGAGAGGGCAGGCTTTAGGGTGAGGAAGAATGCTCTGTTTTTATTTGCGATGTCATGTTTCGTAGGGAATATCCCTGTGTAGGATTCCTGCCATTAATTTAGTAATAAATAATATTTACTAATAAATAAAAAGGAGCTCAAACAACATATCCTGTGATTCCTCCAGGGCTTCACAAGCTTTCCCCTGGTGTTTCTCCTTGTCTATTGTCTGAGCTCATCATCTTCTCGACCCAGCCACACCCTTCCCACAGGTCTCTCTGTCTACTGAACCAAGCAGCAGGGTTTGATTCCTTCTGGCTCCCCTCATTTCTGTGGCTGCTTAATTACGGGTGGAGTGGTTTGGGATGGCACAGGGCAAAACAACATAAAGGGCATTATTCTTCTTAGGGCTCTGATTCACACTCAGAACTATATGCTTCGTGGTAGAGCGTCACGGTCCTCATCGCGTGTGGATCAACACCCCGCCTTCCTCACCTCTCACTTTGTGAACAAGTTAGAGACTCTTAGAGTAGAAAACACCTTAGAAATAATCTTGTTTCCATTTCCAGGTGTGCTTTGTAAGGTGGACTTGTTAATACTTAACAGAGCTCTGTGTCGTTAATTTTCAGAGAAATTATTCCCTCAGTGTGCATCTGTGCTGAGACCTTAAAAAAAACCATTAGGAGAAGGAGAGTAGCATCATAACTTCACAGCTTAGAATTTGATATTACACGTCCTTTGTCTTCGACATTCTGTGGCCACTCTGCTGTGCTCCCAACTGTCCCTCCCCACTGCCTGTGCTTCCTTCTCTGCTGATTCAAAGAAAATAAGACCCTCATAATTTTAGAATGTAGGAACATTTACCAATTTCTGGCCCATGAGAGTCTCTCTTTGAACTCTGAGTTATTTATTAAACAAGCTGTGACTCCATTGGCCGTGCCATTTTTCCCTTTGCCACCAGCCTTCATAAGGTAAAGGAGCCTTATAGATGCTTCCTTAACCTCAAAAATAAATAATCCCACCTTCCAACTACTTACAAAGCAAAACTGACGAAAATCAGATGGTATTCTACTTAACATTGTATTCCTCTACATTTCACATATAGGAAGTTACCACGTAGTTGCTTCTCCCCGCTCCCTCATGTTAACAACTGCTCCTCACAGAGCTCCCTGGCCTAGTGTATCCACATCAGTGTCTCTGCTACATCTTGTGATGGGAATAATTTTCTCAAAGCTCAGATCTTCTGGTTCCAGGCCACTAACTGCTTACCCACTCTGTTACCTCCGCACTGCCAACACCATGATGCTTGTACCTGCAGTGCTGCAGGGTACACGGACTCTCCTGCCCCCTGGCGTCTGATCTGAAGACAACCCCAGATGGTTCTAGACTTCCCCTCCCTCAAATTCCAGTGACCCCTCTGTGAATTCCATTTGGAAGCAAGCCGATTGCACTTCATGTGGCTCCATCATTTATTAGCTCTGAGACCATGGGCAAGGCATTCATTAACCTTCCTGGGCTCCAGCCTGATCTAGACTCATCTCTAAAACAAGACTAACATTCCTCTCCATGCTTTATGAGGATTAACTGAGATACTGTGTAGTCTCTGGTAGGTTTGGATAAATATCTATCCTTTTATCCCTCCCTGTCTCCTCATGCAGGAGAAACTGATAGAGCTCTCAAACCTGCTAGGACTAAGAGTGATGGAAAAGCTGGAATCATCAACTGGTTGTTGGGGCAAGGAGAACCTGGAAGCCTAAAGAGGCCATTCAGTCACTTTAGAGAAGATCTGGCAGAATTTAGGAATCAGACCATAGAGCATGAATGTGCCTGTCTACCCTCATTGTGCAATATGAAGCAGCAAATAGGAGCAAGTTAGATCTATATTGACCAATCTGGAATAATAGAGACCAAGGTATATTAACAGAAAAGAGTATGCATGTGACTGGTAAAGTGTACAGGTGAAACCATTTTCTGTAGGTGTACTTGGGTAGAAAGGTATGCATGAACATAGAAAAGAGAGATGAAAAGAAGCACGCCAGAGTATTAATACTGGTTACCAATGGAAGGTGGGATTGGACGCACATAGACCTGTGTTGTCAATGCTGTCTGCAAATATACAATTTCAAATGAACTTTCCTTTTTGAGAGCAACTGAGGAAGAGGACTTCTGAGGGCAGAGCTGCAGGAGGGGCCTGGAAGAGAAGCTGCACCTACTTACATCATGGTGATGTGCGTTCCTTCGTCCAGCTAAGAATGGTCTGAGAGAGAAGCTCAGCACAGGGCAGTGTTTCATATGCACAGAGCTGCTGAGAGCTCTGAGGGCCCCAGCCCGGGAAGTGTTGGGGAGACGCCTATGGGACAATGTCTTCCACTGCCCAGATCACGGTCTCATAAAGACAAGTCCACCTATATCTTCTGTGTGCAGAGGAAGGTGGCTGTGGGGTGAAGGCTGGTGCAGGAGGGCACAGAGGTCTGGGAGAGGCTGTCCAACATCAAAGCCACATATTTGGCTTTGAGAGAAAGTCACAGACATTAAGGGATTTCTCTATGGTGCGTGCTGGCACGAATCGGCTGTGCACTAGCTTCGGCTCCTATTAACACCTGCACATGTATTCATAGACAGCAGTCTCAGGCATCTCCATGTCACTTCGTGTCCTGCCTTTGTTGTCTGGTATCTTGGGATCAGGTTGTTCCAGCAACTGTGAAGTGTATGATAGAAGGAAGTTGCGTGCCCAAGGAAGTACCCCAATAATGTAAACCTGAGGTCAAGGCTTAGACTAGGATGTGGTGAGCCAAGGAAAAGGCTTTAGGGGACTCACTTGCCCCCAGGAAACAAAAGGCCACACCACTGAGGAGTCTGGTAGCCATGGCAGGGCCAGGGAAAAAGGGGCAGATTGTGGGGAGTTTTTAAAGTTTGTGTGTTGGGGACATAATACCTGGATGTCAGTAGAGTCACTGGTGATGCCACTGCCCCTGCCAGCCAGTGACTCTGCCCTCTGCCTGCTATTCCTCCCTTGACCTGCTGCAACCTTCAACCTACAGTACAGCCATAAACCTTCACGCATGTGGTCTCTGCTCCTGGCTGTCTTTCTTCCAACAGACAACAGCCTGACAACGTTTGTAATCATTTGTCCTCCACCTGCCTCTCCACTGTCAGCTCAGGGTGTCCATTTTGGGATCTTTTTGACAGGCTGTTGCTTCTTCACTGAACGTATGTCCTTCCCTCCCATTCCTATGTCTCTATGTTATTTCTTACATGAAATATATTTCAGGTACATTTATTCTTAATGGTGAAAAGCCAAACTTAAATTTCACTAGAACAAATTAAGAAAAATATGTTTAGACATTTATATGAGAAAGGAGTTTTTGTCTACACACACAAAAAAATTGTTTTTAGTTTTTGTTGCATTAAATTAAACTTTTGTGCATCAAAAAACACCGTAAAAATGAAAATACAAGCTACAGACTGGGAAAGTACAGAAGGAATGCATATAAATGATTTAAAAAATAGTGTGAAATGCAACATTCCTCAAAGTTGCTAATGAAGAAGGCTTAGTAATGACCCCAGAAGACATCTGAGCCTCTACTGAAACCTGCTGGTCACTAGAAGGCAGTGTGAGGGCTCTGACTTACTGACCAGGACAGAGAAGGTGATGATGGAGCAGGGGGATAGGTAGAAAATGTATGGACTAGTTTGTTTCCCACTTCTGATGCTTATAAGCCCAGAGACACTGGCGAAAATGACTCAGTGTCCCTGAGCCTCCCATCTGCGAAGAAAGAATAAGAATGTTTGATTTGCAAGATTGTGGGAAACCTTTAAGCTATGTAGCATATACAAAAATCCAGCACACGTCTGGGGCTCAGCAGTCACTCTTCCACTGAAGTTACCCAGTAAATAACAAGCTGCAAGAAGATGCAGCAGAGAAGCAGGCACACTCAGGGCACAGGAATCTTGGACTCTGTTGGTTGGGAGAGCTCTGCGCTCAGTAGGACACAAGACATGCCTTCCAAACAACTAAAAGCTTCCCTTTAATGAGTGAAACCTGGGTTGGGCCTGCAGCTCTCAAGTCAAAGCTAAGCCACGAAGTTTATATACAGAATGCCAGTGACTCTACCAGGCTGTGCCAGGCTGCTGGCACAGAGATACAGGGCCGAGTCCTCCACCTCCAAGGCGTTCACATTCAGCTCAGAGCTATAGTTAGGGAACTGATGACCTGAAAATCTATGAGGGAAGGTTCCTCTGTCTCTCTCTTCTTCCTCGTCATACCAAAGGATGAACTGGAGTACCTGACCCAGGGCCTGTTGGTACCAGTACACATTGGTGTGCCCAGAGATAGGAGAGCATCTCAGAGTCACTTGCTGTCCTCTCGTTTTGATCAGGTGTGTGGGACTTTGGGTGACTCCAGCCTGCACTGGGCCTGTGGGAAAAGCAGATGGAGGATGAGCTCAGGAGACAGCCTGGAGGTCCTCCCCAAGTTAAAGTGGAGGACACAGGGGTGGGAAGGCTGAGAATGGGGCTGCTGTCCTGTGCAGAGGACTCACCTGCTCCCAGGAGACAGAGCAGCGCCCAGCAGAGGAGCCCGGGGCCCATGGCACAGTGGGGCAGGCAGCACTGCACCTGATGCAGGGCTTGGTCCTCCTGGGGAAGAGCTCAGTGAGTTCTGCACCTTAATTTTCCTGATGGGAGGGGCATCCTGTGATGTCACTGTCCTGTGTCCTCCCCAAGCAGCTTCCTTAGGTCTAGTGCTCCATGGACCCTGTACTCTCTACCTGTCCTGCAGAGGTGGAGGGATGGGTGAAGGCAGAAGCTTCTGCGATGATACAGTTGCTCCTCTGCCTACACTGCCCCATCGTCCTCTCACCCTCCTCCCACCTAGTGCTGTGGTGCTCCATGCTGGAGCACACACACCTACCCATCAGCAGAGGGTGAGGAGCCTGTGATTAAACCTCAGGTTCCAGCTCTTCCTGGCTGTCCTCGCAACATCTTTCTGATGCTAGATTCACACCAATGTTTCTTATTATATTTTCCTGTCCCAGGCAACATTCCCAGCCTCTTTCCTGAGTGGCCAGTGGTGCAGAGTCCCCAATATTAGGTCCATCTGATCAGATCCAAAGCAGACCTGGGTTGTCTGTAAATTATCAAGACTACAGATTCCCCAGAAATTATTCTAGGACCTTATCAGCTCACAGCACAGATGTAGCCAGCTTGGGACTCAGCATCCTCAATGCCATCCTATATGTAGGGCTCTGGACAGTTTATTAATCCCTCCAGATCCACCCTGCCTTCAGAAGCTGACCCAAGTGTATCATGTTAACTGTCTCCCCTTTTCTCTAACTCCAGAGTGAGTTTGGCTTATGGGGGTCAGGATAGCAGAGGGAGGTAGGGTCACCATCTGTGCTGGTTTGCAAAATATATTCCCTTGGCTCCCTTCTTGCTGGGTTAAAATTCCTGGTGCCTGGAAGTAGTCACACAGTAGCCTGAATGCTTAGCAGCTTAGATATTTCTTTCAGCAGATATCCTAGCTAAAGACTCATAATTTTTATATTCCATAAAGTCCTAGAACAGGACATAATTTTGCGAAGGTTTTTGCTACTTACAACAAGGATGGCATTTACGTCAATTTCCGATACCTCGTCCCTCATTTCCCCCTGAGCCTTCACCAGAATTGCCATTAATGCTCAGTATCAGCAATCTAAACTTTTGCTAGTCTGCTTCTCTGAATTTTTCCAACCTCTATCCATTACCCAGTTCCCATTAGCCAAAGCTGCTTCTACATTTTCAGGTACTTGTTATAGCAATAGCCTCACTCTCAGCACCATGTTTTCTTTCAATTTCTTTCCTCCTGCTGTTATCCAAGGCAGAAGGAAGGATAAGCAAGCACCCAAGACAGAGAAAATGACTGAATTCATCCCTTTTATCAGAAGACCATTCCCAAGACAACTAATTCACTCCCGCAATAAGGCAATAAGGGCATTGATCTCTTTCTGAGGGTAGATCCCTCATGAACTTGTCATAACTGTCCCACCTCCCAATACCATTACGTTGACAAATTTCAACATGAGCTCTCTTGGGGACACGCAAGCATAGCACACGCACCTGAGCTGTGAGTCAGTATTTCTACTCTTAAGGCTATACCTCAAAGAAAAAAAAGAACGCATATGTCCACAAGACAGAATTCTACGAGAATGTTCACAACAACTTTATTCCTAATAGTTGAAGACAGGAGTAACGTGGATCTCCATCAGCAGGAGCGTGGGTCAACAAGCTGTGGTATATTTATGCAATGGAATATTAGTCATAAGAGAGAACGACCTACTGATACTACAATATGAATGCACTTCAGAAACTCTAATTTTGGGGGGAAATAAATCAATAAAAATATTATGTGATTCCATTTATATGAAGCTCAGCAATAAACAAAGCTAGTCAATGGTGATTAAAAAATAACAAAAGTTTATATCTCTGGGATAGAAATTGATTGGAAAGGAGCATGAGGACACTTTCCTGAGTGATGGAAATTTTTTTTATAATCATTTCAGTTACTGTTGCACTGGCATATATGCATTTGTCAAAACGTACCAGGATGTCCTTGTATTAATATTTGTGTTTTACTCTCTGTTAATTATACCTTAATAAAAAGTATTACTAAAAAGTAAACAGCTAAATTGCATAAGAGAGTCATTTACAAATGCATGCTTGTATTCTGCACAACCCAATTTAAAAATGAATCACACAAAAATGAGAAAAGACAGAAGCATACATATCTGTGTAAGATTGGAGATTGTGAGAAGTGCTCAGTGACTGAAATAGGCAACATTGAAATTTGGCATCACATTAAGCTCCACTGACAAGTGGGCTGAGAAACAACTGAGGATCAATATCAAGGAAAGCTGTAGACAAACAAAAACTTTCTAAAAATACCTTCATATGCTGTTGAAATCATTCTGAGAACCATGAGCTGCTATACATTTCATAACTTGGGAAATGTGGCATTCATCAGTCTTACAATTAAGCCTTTCATTTTGAATTTCAACAGGTTGGTCAATTGATGAATTGATTTTTTTTTTTTTTTTTTGCCAAGCAAACAGTCTGCTCCCCTCTTTGTAAGTGGGGTCCTGGGTAACCCAGCCCTCCCCCTTTGTCAGCTTCACAGAGGGGAGTTGGGCACAGCACAGACACATGGGGTTTGCATTCCCTGTAGAGCCCAGCTATGGACCTCCCAGTCCTGCAGTTAATAGATGCCAACTAAAGAAACCTTGCCTCTAGGTGTCCGCTTTACCTGTAAGTGCTAAACAGGCCGGAGAAAAATGAAATGTTTGCTCAATATTATTCTGCAATATTTTACAAGAAAATGAAATGAGGAGCTCATGGATTTTAATCCAAGCCAAGGTCAAGATAATAATTGAATTCCTTCCTTAATCTACCCTGAGGGGACTCAAACACTGCTCTATGCCCAGAAATGCCTAGTAGAGTCTTAAAGTTATAGTCTCTTTTCGATAATTCTACTAGTCAATTAGCTTCAGGTCTAATGCATAGTTTGGTACATCTACTAACATTTTCCCTCAGTAGTTTGTTTACTTAGGTGTTTTAGAACTTGTTATCAATATTTTTTGTCATCCAGAGAACACGTACTTGGTTTCCAGTGGAATCTCAACCAAGTTGTACTACTTATAAACTTGTAGAATCCCAGATCGCTCAAGCAGGTTAAAGCTGTTGCCTGGCCAGACCTGCAGGGAAGATGAGATGCAGCAGAGATGCACTGAGCTCAGGGCACAGCCTATCCCTAGCTTTCCCCTGTTCCTCTGAGGCAGTTGCTCCTCTGCACCTGCCTCTGACACCAAGGGAGCCCAGCCAACATTCTTCAACTGCAGATCTCATTAAAGATTATAGGGACTTCCCACCTCTTGCATAGCTGTAGGTAACCTGACAATAACTGAAAACTGCTACAACATCTTCACAATATTGGATCCAAACCCTAATTTTTCTTAACCCTTTCCCTCCTAGGCTGCTCTCCCAGAAGCCCCAGAGCCCTTTAGATCCCAGTGGACCACACTGCCATCTTGTGGCCAATAAGTGAAGTTTCATCATTGTTTCTTCTGCAGTGGCCCAAGGAATGCTGGGAAGTATCTACAGAGTGAGCTGCCAGAATATTCCAGAAGTGTCATCCCGCAGGTTTTATGAGCAGCTTCCCTAAACCCTCATCCCAACACTAGTTCTAACCCTGATTATTGCATTGAGTTACCAATATTAATATCCCACCCTCATTCTGAATAACTCTTATCACATAGCTCCAGTTATAGTCTAACTTTTTCTCCCTTAAACTACCATCTAAAGAAAGAGGAACAGAATGAGAGGAATGAAGGGAAATAATATTTGGTTTAAAATAGGAAGAAAACACAGACGTTGAAATATAAAGAGGTTATTTAATCTGAATCACTAAAGATAAACAAAAATGTCTTCCAAAAATGACAATGCTACCCCAAAAGCATAGATGAGCAAATGATGAAGTCAAATGTCTATTAATAAAAAGTAAAATTGAAATATATAAAACGAGACCTCTTACAAGGCAATAAGCAATGGTGAAGGAGCGGTACTTAATGCACAAAATAAGGATGGACATAAGTAAAACCAGCAAAGGGACTGCTACAGGAAATGATCAACTTGTGCACATCCACTGATGTGAGCACCAAAGAGGGAAGAGGTGAATCTTAAAGAAGCACAGGAGCAGCGGGAGATGAGGACACGCTGGTGCAAAATACTATGATAAGGAAGCAAATTAGCCAGGGGACTGTGGATTAGATGACTTTGCTTTCTCCTGTCTCCTGTGACAGCTGAACTAGACCATTTTCCTTTCCAAGGATTTGCTGCTGCACCCTGAATTAGATGGCCTTGGGATTTGCTCCTCCTCAGGTTCCCATGGATGAACTCACTCTCCCTCCTTGTTGAGCACAGTCTGCCTCCCCTTCAATCCCACAGTACTGGGGATTCAGACAGACTTCTCAATCGGCATCGACCTCTCTCATGGCATGCTCCCACACCCGCTAACTGTGCCTTTTCATTTCCACTAGACTGAAAGTTAGCTGTGGGCAATGAAACTTAACACTTTTATCATAGGATGTACAAGTGACTGCTTTCAAAATTATTGCTATTTCTTTCACTGCCTTGGCTTATATCTGAACAGGAAAAAAAGGCACAATTTCTTAATGTGACTTAACCACAAAAACCTTCCCAAGTGCCAAAAACAACATAGCTACCAAGGGATTGCTCTCCTCATTGGTGAGATGGCAAAATAAAAAAAGAAAGAAAGTTTTGTCGAATACTATAAAGGAGACCCAGAATTCCAGTCTCTCTTATATAAACATCATTCCATGGCCTCCCTCTAACTAAGAGACAGACAGAGCCATTCCTGTGCCCTGCACCTGGCAGAAAAGTCCTGCTGGAGTCTGTGGGGAGCTGGCGAGGATGAGCCTTGGTGATTCTGCCCCCAGAGCAGAGATACTCAGGGAACTCTGGACAACGTCCAGGGACTGAGATGGAGAGTGGCCATACTCAGTCTTGGAGAGGAGAATACTTAGGGTGTGATCCTTCTGACCTCTTAGCCTAAAGTAAAAACAGAGTCATTCCTGACTGGGGTGGAGCTGCTTAGTTTCCAAAGCAAAATAGTCCTTGTTACAGTCTGTCCTTGCCACAGAAGAATAGTGGGGCTGTACGTGGTTCACAACCCAGAGATGCTGGTTGCCTATTTCTGTTCCCAGTGATTCCAGAATCTGAATATTCCATGCGAGGAATGATAACTTGTAAATAATGAACTGGTTCAGTGGTACCTTTAGTTACATTCAAAATAGTTGTCATGTTCCAGACTGGCATGCTTGAGCAAGAGAATTTGGAGGCTGAATAGAAATAGGAACAATTGAGGCCCCAGTAGATGATGGCATCCAAGAACAAGAGTAGAGGGGAGGTGAAGTCAGAGCCCTTTTGGCCCCAGAAGACATGGCATAACAGGGACATCAGAAAATACTCCAGTGATGTGCTGCTAAACTGGGTGTCTGCGAAGGTGGGGGCATGGCTGATAGCATTTGCTAATTTCTGTGGTACCAGCATCCCCACCATGGCAGATTTCAAGCGGCCAACATGGCTTCACTGCTGGGGAGCTGGGAAGAGTATGCCTATTTGGCTCTTCTGAGTTATTCAAGCTGAGTCCAGCACATCCCTAGACTCAAGAGCAAAGCTTTCAAAGTTCTTCAATGCTTCCTACTCATCAGCCTAAAAATGAAGCAACAGCAACTATAGCACACCTCCTTATTTTCATGATAGGATCAGAGTGTGTGATCTGGGTTGGAAAACAAAGGACGTTTGCAGAGAAAGATTCTGAGTCCTCTGAAGCTGAGATCACAGAGCAAGAGTATGCTGGGGTTGCAGAGTGCAGCCTTTGACTTAAGTAATTGCAATGAAATGTTTCCTGCTTACTTAAACAACAGAATGATTCATAAGCAGAATCCTATTCCTTCTATTTTCCTTAGTACATCTTCCTTGCTCCTTTTGCATGTCTTTCAGTACAAATTGGAACCTGCTCGTTTTTTCATGTTCTTGCACCGTTAAACTGTGGACTAACTGTCAGCCTCAGCTGTCCATGTTAGGACCAGGTGTCTCAGGAGTCATGTGGAGGAAGGTGGCAGCAGTTAGAGAGAAGGTCTACGAAGGCAAGGAATTCCCATCAGTGCCCTGGACTTACTCAGTCCCAAGAGACACAGGGCACCTGAGCAAGGAGTGTTTTCATGATGGCACAATAAAAAAATGGGTCCAGAGCAACTCCCTACCAGAGACCATGATTATCTGGGGAAAGAAATTTGGTGTCTGTACCACGACGATTTCTGATCAGTGACTTTAGGAAGGCAATGATGCCCCTCCTAGCTATGAAAGATTCAGGGCACCTCTCTCAGGGTTGCATCTGGGACACCGATCCCAGACTTGGAGAAGTGGTCTGTCGCCGAGGACTCTCAGAAATCCATGATCCGTAATCACATGATCTCTGACCAGTGCGTTCGATTTCATAGATACAAACTGCAGCATCACCCACAGACAGGTGGAAGATTCTATTGCAATATAATCATTGTACTTTTATTTATAACAACTACTATATAACAATATATAATATGAAAAATAAAAAGGAACAGAATCAATATTATAAATAAAACACTTCTTGAGTTAAAGGACTCAGGAAAATTATTTCAAATCAGAAGAGTAGGACAACAATGAAAACACTCAAGAGTCTAGAAATTAGATTTCCTGAGGAAATCAAGGTGAACGGGCAGTGGTGAATGCATGCTTCTGTCTATCAGGACAGCAGCAATGGCAAATGGAAACAAAATAAAGGATACATGTGGCTTAAAGTAGGCAGAAGAAATGCACTCTTATTGTTACCATAATTGTATTTATCAATAAGGACCACAAATTTGCAAAGACCTGTATTTTAAACAGGTAGAGAGGTTTGATATTTTGTTGCAGAAACTTCCAAGGTGACAGGGATAGAAGAGGCTTCAGAAGAAAGATGTTCCTGGGGATGCAGCCTCAGACCTTCCAGATGCCCCAACATATGCAGAAGAGGCATGTTTCCTGCTTTTGACAACCTCAAGTATGTGGGCAGCACCGCAGCCTCCAAGACCTATAGAAGATGCATGTCTGCCCTGAAGGCCGAGGCTAAGACACCCACTCCTTGCTTGAAGAAGTGAGCTGGTTCCGAGGACTCCTAGAGTGCAGCGGGCCGTGATTGTTTTCACCACCTACATTTGCAGTCACTGTGTTTCACGAATGAATCTGTGGTCTCTTTCTACCCAAAGGACAGCCGATGTCCAAATCTACTCCTTTCCCATGAAAAATGAGGAGAAAGAGAGGCCTCTGCTAAGGGTCTCTAGTAGCTGCAAGGAGAGAGAAGGATGAGGTTTGTGAACAGGAAGGAGGTGACTGTGCCACGCTGTGGCTAAGCTGCTGGCACAGAGATACACGGCCGAGTCCCCCTGCTCTGTGCGCTGGATCTTCAGAGTGGAGACGGATCCCTCAGTCCTCTCTGCAGAGAACCGATCATTGGGCAGCCCTGATTTGTCTCGTTGAGCATCATCCTGGAAGTAAGTCAGAAACGCTGGGCCCTGCCCCAGGGCCTGTTGGTACCAGTAAAGGTAATCATGACCGGAAATTGGATCACACCTGAGAGCTACATCCTGGCCCCTCTTCGTGACTTTGTATCTTGGGGACTGCGAGACTCCAGCACCTGTGTGATCTGTGGAAGTAGAATTTGGCAACAGAATAAGGAAAACATTTGTAGTCATCACACACACACACACTCTCACACACACACACACACACACACACAGTCACACACACGCACATGCCTATACACAGGAAAAAAATGAAACTACTTGGTGTTCTGAGGACTCACCTGTCCCTAGGAAACCCAGGACCACCCAGCAGAGGAGCCTGGTGCCCATGGCAGGGTCAGGCCAGGACGGGGGCGTTACCAGATCAGTGTCACTGTGAGCAGGAGCAGAGGATGATGGACGTCCTTGTCCCCACAGGGCAGTTCCCACAGTGACATCACTTCCTCTCTCAATCCCCAGGACCTCAGGATCACAGCATTTATGTTAGAACACACTTGAGTGCTGCCTTAAATATTTATAACCTTCTTTTTTAACATCAATGCATGGCTCATCGCTTTGGACTCCAGAGCTTTCTGTACCCGGAGGCCTCACACTGCATCTCTGAGTTCATCTTCTCATCCCACAGCCGCTCCTCTGTCTGCTGGGCATGTCCTGTAGGATGCGCCAACACTGTCCCCAACATAGGGCACAAAGGGGTGAGCTCATTGTCTTTCCTCCAAGTCAGGGTCCCCTCTGCCATCCCATCCCCTTTCATGCCCTAGCCTTCTCCATTCCCCCAGTCACACGTGCCCAACAGGGCTGCCCCATCACATGGGTTCCCTCATGAACTGCCCTCATGCCTTTCTTCTGGGATCATTTCCCACCTTTGTTAACTGTAATTCAGAAAAGATACTTGGGTAGAAACTCACAGCGGTCTTTTTTCATATTCCACTTATAAAAGTTGTTTTTAATCAATGTCATCTTAAAAGGAGAATGACAATTGAGCTAATGGTTATTTTTAACCACTATCTTGACTTACTCTTGTTCTCCATCTAACCCTGTGGGCGGTATTTCTCTTTTTTTCTGATTGCTTTCAAAATCTTCTCTTTGTCCTCAGGTTTTACAATTTCCCTATGACTTGACTATTTGTCTTATTTGAGATTCATTTTGATTCTGGAAACTCTGAATTTGGGTCCTGAACACCTCTAAAGAATTGTCAGCTAACATCTCATAAATATCACCTCATAACATTCTACCTATCTACCTGTTTGAAACTGCAATTGTATGCAAGAAAAAATGGGAATTTTTGAAAAATATGCATATTCTAATATATGGGAAACATCCATTTTTTTCCCCCCTGTTCTTTAACTTTTCATAGTTCACTTTTAATTTTCTGTGCTGCATTCTAGATGACTCCTGGAGATCCATCTTTGACATCACTAAAAATCTCTTTAGGAGGTGCCGATCAACTGTTTGACTTTTCATTTTGTTTTCGGTGAGTGTGTGAGGCATTCCTAGATACATTATTTGACAATTTTTATGAAAGTTACTTGATGGTTTCAGACATTCTCTTTTTCCTTGTTTCAGTTCTCCCTCATGTTCATTTAAATGTAGCTCTCCAAACTTTCATATCTTATAATGCCAAAATTTCCAGTCTTTGGGTTTGCATTTCAATCTTTTGTTGCATGTGCTCACATTTCCTCATTGCTATCTCCTAATATTCTTCTTACTGGGAATCTGTTTGCTCGATGGTAGTCTGTGACATTCCAGAGAGGCCTGGACTGACAGTGAACAACACCAAGAGTCTGTCATGTTTACAGGCATCTCCAGTCTAACTCGCAAAGGTACGGGCCCAAGAACTGTCTGCTGCACTCTGGGCTGCTATATACACCCACGACATAGGTTGGTAGAGTCAAAAATGCTCTCTGGACAGTCCCAACAAAAGATTCAGAATAGAATTCAAGTTTTCTAATTTTTTAAAATAAATCTCATACACATATAGACCCTCTGGGTGGAGGGAGATATCCGGCACAGGATTAAAAGGAAAGTTAGTAGCCAGCGTCTCTGGAACATCTACATACAAATTGTGTCCACATTCACCTGGGCAGCACAGGTGTCCACGGAGAAGAGTCCAGGGACTGCAGCAGGTTGAGGCAGTTGTGTGATCCAATGCCTTAATCTCCGTCCTGTGCTGGACTGTGTTAAGTCAACTTTGCAAAGGCAAGAGCCTGCCTTTCCCAGAATGCCATTTCTCTTACCATTCAGGGTTACAGATGGTCAAGGTACATTTGGTAAGATTTGGAAGACAGATGAAAAGCAGTCACTATTATTATACTTGGCAGGTCATCGTGGTCAGACAGTGAGAGTCTGTGACCAGAGGATACAGAGGCATCCAACAGACCTAGGAAGTCCTGTTCCTTCTGCACCCTGTGTCCAGTTCATCTTCCCACATGCTGGCCAACAGCAGCCAGGCTGCCCCCAGTGTTTGCAAGTAAACCTGCAGGGGTGGGCCCCATACAGTGGGTACAGCTTCCCCAGAAGTAGGTTTCCTTGGACTTTTCCTGTGCTCCCGGCTCAAGGTGCCACTGCATGGCCTGGCATGCTCTGATCCTCTCATGTTCCTGCCGCTCAAGCCTGTCCTGCCCAGACCTCCAGAAGTCCTGGCTACTGACTGGCTCCTTCAACTTCTGACTTCTCTCCTCCAGACCTTCTTTTCCTCAGCTCCTCCCACATATGCATAAAGTCTAATTCTGATCATAAATCTGTTACACTCCCAAACTTGTAGTAGCCCTGTTTTATTGATGCAAACCTAATGGAGATTTTCTTACCAGAAGTGATTTCAAGGAACAACCTTTAAGGATGGAATTCTAGAGGTAGATCTCTGATCTGTCTAGATTTGTTGTGGGAAAAGACCCTGAAGGAGAGCACAGAGACCTGCAGGAGGTCAGGTGCTGCAGCCACAAGAGGAAACCTTGAGCCAGGTGTGGACGCCATGATAGTGATTCCCCATCAATTTCCAAGACCGACCTGAGCCCAGCAATCAAAGGGGTGGGATTTGTTGTACTTAATGCTAGATCTCTGCCAGGTTGCAGTAGATGTAGCATGTTTTTATTATTGGTTCATCCACCCACTCATCACTCACTCAGCCTGTCATCCACTCATCCATTCTTTGTGAAATGGTTCTCCCTACATGCCAGACAACAATGTTGGTAAAAGCAGTAGGCACAGCCTCAGCTCCCATGGGCTTAAAAATTAGGTGGAGTTAAAAAATAACCAGATAAGTATCTGAAAAAGCCCAACTGTGCTAAAGGTTACTAACAGACACATGAATCTATGAGAGCTTATGAGAGGAAAGTTGATCTCAGCTGGGAGGGGAGGGAGTGCTTCCCACAAGAGGGGCTGATTGTGCTGCGATCTGGAGGACAGGTAGGAGCTGGCCACTGCAGAAAGGAAGCCTCCAGCCAAGTGTGGAGGAAATGGGCTTTGAAGTCTCTGTGATAGGAATGAAGGAGGCACAGGAGAGGCTCCCCTCATGGCTTCAGTAGAGAGCGGCAAGGAGGTGAGGGGAGGAGAGACCCAGCAAGGCCTTGGAGGGTGACTGCCCAGATGGGAAATGTGGGCCACAAGAGAGACAATGTGAGGGTGGGGGCTGGGGGAAACCCTAGAGAGAGGAAGCAATAAGGTCACCAGAGAGAGACGGGAGTCTAGATGGATCTGAAATACACATCCTGTTTTATCCAAGTGGCCTGGGACTCAGGATAATGAGTAGAAAAGTAGGAGCTGGGGAAGCCCTTACCCCACCCCAAAAGGAGAGCTCTGAGAAAAGAACAGACAGAGCAACAAAGGAGACATCTGAGGACCTGGGACCAGTCCAGGCCTGGCTGAGACTGCCTGCAGAGGCACCTGGCACAGAGCGAGGCTCATACTGCCTGGGCCACTTGGGGTCATTCGGGATTCCAAGGACTCTGGTGTAGAGAACTCTGCCCAGGGCATCCCTGAGTCTTGGGTGGGGGAGGAGGGCAGAGCCTGCCTGGCTTTATGTGCAGAGAGGAGGCAGCCTTGTAACGCTGTGGAGTAACTGCTGGCACAGAAGTACACAGATGTCTGGGAGGGAGCAGCCGACTCCAGTCTGAGTGGGAAATCCTCTGTGTTTGATCTGGTGACATTGTAGCCATCGGGGACTTCTCCTTTCTCAGTGCTACCTTCACCAACTGAGTAATGAATCAGCCTCAGCCCCATGCCTGGGTCTTGTCGATACCAGTACATGTAGTCATGGTTCATATCCTGGGCACACTGCAGTGTCATGCTCTGTCCTGTTTTCAGGACCTGGAATTTTGGGGTCTGAGTGACACCAGCATTCACTGGACCTGCAGAGAAGGAGAACAAAGATGATGCTGCAGCCCTAGTGGGAAGGCGCTGGGCCTTGAAATCCACACAAGGGGCCCTGCCCAGGACCCACCTGCCCACAGGAGACAAAAGGCCGCACAGCACAGGAGGCCGATGCTCATGGCAGATGCTGCATGACGGAGGGGTCTTCTGGGTCTGTGCATTGATGAAACGGGAACAGGACTCTCAAGGGAGTCATTCTGAGACCTCATTCTCCCTGCCTGGGCCCCAGGGAGGGAGAGGCCAGGAGAGGCCACGCCTCTTCCCCAGATGGTCAAATCCAAAATAAATGCACCAGTGAACAGCTGAGAATGAGAAGAACACATATGTCTGAATTGAAACAAGTCAAAAAGATTTTCATGACCTTTTGTAAACAGTTTGAAATTCAATGTAAATTTTATTTCTTCAATGATATAATTAACATTCTAGTGTTAGTTATCTACATAGTGCTGTAGTCTAGAGTCTTAGGGAATCTCCTCATGTCTTCCTGGTGTTTTTGACTCCTGTGTCCCAAATACTCCTTCAAGTATCCTTTTCTAATTTGCTTAATTGACCATAATCCTGTTTAAAATCCTTTGTCTATATCGGTTTTCTCTGTTATCAAGTTTCCAAATCCCAGGGGCAGGCTCATCAACATTGGAGGAGTCGTTTTGCTCTGTTTCTTGTCAACTCACTGACAGATGGGACTCCTGAGAAACCCAGCTGAGCACCTTCAGCTCCACCCAGGGCCCTTCATTTCCGTGCCTGGGGTGAGATCACAGCAGACAGAACCACCTCACACTGCTGACTACCTTCTATGTGTGGACGATGGTGGCCACCCAGCACTGCCCATGACCTGTGGACACAAAGGTGGTCTTATGCATGAGGGACTCAGGGAGAGAGGGCAGACTTTAGGGTAAGGAAGAGTGCTCTGTTTTAATTTGAGTTGTCATGTTTCGTAGGGGGTATCCCTTTGTGCGGGATTCCTGCCATTAATTTAGTAATAAATAAAAAGGAGCTCAAATAACGTATCTTGGTGCACAGAGTCCCACACTTATTAGGACACCACAGTCAGGATAACATTGTCATGTTCTTCAAATTCTTACCAATTTTTGAACAAAGGGGATGCTAATAAGTTGTATGGCTGGTTCTGAGTACATAATTGTGTTTCATATTCTGCTCACCTCCCTATGTGCTGTTTTCCTTTTTAGCACAAGCACAAGACCAGGGTCTGGGTCACTCAGTATCAGTGGGACTTTGGATCCCATCAATGGGACTGTGTTCTGTGAAGAACACAGAAGTTAAAGTCACAGCAAAGGACCACCTGGTACTATTTACCTGCAAGCTGGGGTCCAACAAACCAATGAGTGGATGCCACATATGTGATCAGTATTTCTCTGGTCCAGAAAACAAAGAGACACATAGCAAAAGAGCCTTGTGCCCAGGCAGTGCCAGAACAGAAAGGGGAATTTTCTAACTCAAGGCTCATGTTTTATGGGTTGGACACTTGGGGTCAAGGAAGACAGAACCCTTCTCTCAGTGTGACATTATCTGTCAATGGAGTCACCATTGCACGTGGTGCGCTTGGTCCCAGTGTACTCTATGTGCTCAGGAAGCAGAGCTAAATCACAGCTAAATATTGTCCAATGGAAACTCAAAATAATGTTCTCGGAGATTGTTAGTTTTTGTCAGAATATCATTATAAAATAATTTAGGTGAATGAGTGTATGAGAAAAAAATGAAAATGAATGAACAAATTATGTGGAAACAGACTCTTCCAGCTGGGAAGATTTTTGATGTCATTTCATCATTTTGTCTATCTCCAGGCAGGATTATCCCTAACATGGATCAGGTATCTCTCAGGGTTCTGGAAGTGTTTGAAACCCTTCTAAAGCCATAAAAATCTTTTCTTCTAATTTTTTAAATTTTACTTTAAGTTTTGGGATACATGTGCAGAATGTGCAGGTTTGTTACATAGGTAAACATGTGCTACTCTGGTTTGCTGCACCCATCAACCCATCATCTAGGCTTTAAGCTTCGCAGGCATTAGTTATTCCCCTTAATGCTCTCCCTCCCCTCACCCTCTACCCTCCGACAGGCTCCAGTGTGTTTTGTTCCCCTCCCTGTGTCCATGTGTTCTCTTTGTTTAACTCCCACTAAGTGAAAACATGCGGTGTTTGGTTTTCTCTTCCTGTGTTAGTTTGCTGAGAATGATGGCTTCCTGCTTCATCTATGTCCCTGCAAAGGACATGATCTCATTTTTTTTATGACTGCATAGTATTCCATGGTGTATATGTGTCACATTTTGTTTATGCATTCTATCATTGATGGGCATAGCCATAAAATCCTTAGGAGCACCTCCCTCTCTTGAATATTTACCTGTGTACTAAAGAGGAAGTGTTTTAATAGTTAGAGGTTGTAAATTTCCATTAAAAATATACCTGAGCAAAACTATTTTCTAGTGATAAATATCACTGCTTGTCAGGGATGGAGGGAGGCATTGGACAGAGAAATGAGAAAACCCTCTGCGTGATGGAAATGTTCGATATCTTAACAGGGATGGGGATTAGAAGGGTCTATACACATATGTTGCTCCAAAATCACTGATCTGTTCATTTAAAATGTGTAATGTTTATATAATCTATATATTAATAATATTGGTTTTTAAATATCTGAGGAGATATGCATGCTACATTCTTTAGTTAATTTCACGTAAAGAATCATCAGGCATATATATTTCCACTTCTGTGACTTCTAAGTTCTCAACTTAAGATTTCTAGGCAGAATGTGTCTGAATCTGCCTTTGTGCATGGCGAGGGTGGAAGAGGCTGTCTGAGATTAACAAAGGGAATCAAGATATTTAGATTCCTATTATAGGCTAGATATTTTATGATACTAAATTATGTATACGGCCTTATAGGTGGACTGTATTAGTCTCATTTTATAGATTAACAAAACAAAAAGCAAACTAAACCTAACCTGTCAAGAGCTGGCCTCAGGTAGCGATGTGATGGCGTTAGAGTGGGAGTCAGGGCTGGGTGTCATGGCGTCTTTTCAGAGTTCTTTCCCCACACTGTCTCCAGGATTAAATTCACCTCTGTCTATGATGTTATTGGAGCCAGCAGGTCTGAAAGGGATGTACAGAGCAAATACTCTGATTTTGAAAGTTAGGCATCGCTCTTTATGAAAATGCCTTATAGCACAGAGCTATAAACACAGGGATTAGAGACTGACAGGTCAGAGCTGGACCCCCAGTACTGCATCCTAATAGCCATTTAATATGATCATATTATTTAACATGTGGGTCAGTTCCCTCTTCTCTGTAAAATGAGAATAGCATTTGTGTCTTAAGGCTTTTTCTGACAGTTGAATTTCTAATTAACTGAAATTTTGCAAATGAAGGACTTCTATTTTGTGCGTAGTAAAATGACAATAAAGGATGGAATTATGGTTTTCTTCTGAGTCTTCTCCATGCAGCATAATTGAACCATAAAGGTGCATTGATGTACTCAGAGCCTGCACCTCTGCAAATGACCCTGCCACTCATGTGATGCATGGTTTTATAGAAACAGTCAAATACTATGCATTTATTACCACAGACCTTAAATGTGTTATATACACATACGGAAATAATACCAAAAAAGAAGACAATCTAGCCATATGTGGCAATGTGGATAAACCTGGAGGACATTATGGTAAGTGAGTAAGCCAGACACAGAAAGACAAATACTGCATGACTCTTTTTTTTTTTTTTTTTTGAGATGGAGTCTCACCCTGTTGCCCAGGCTAGAGTGCAATGGTGCAATCTCAGCTCACAGCAACCTCCACCTCCCGGGTTCAAATGATTCTTCTGCCTCAGCCTCCTGAGTAGCTGGGATTACAGGCGCCTGCCACCATGCCCGGCTAATTTTTGTATTTTTAGTAGAGGCGGGGTTTCACCATGTTGGCCAGGCTGGTCTCCAACTCCTGACCTCACGTGATGTGCCCACCTCGGCCTCCCAAAGTGCTGGGATTACAGGCGTGAGCCACCATGCCTTTTTCTACTTTTATGAGGCAAACTAAATAGTCAAAAACTCATGGAAGTAAAAACTAAAACATTGGTTTCCAAGGGCTAGGGATTGGTGGAAATGGGGAGTTGCTGTCAACAGGTACAAAATTCCCAGTTAAGCAGGATGAGGAAGTTCTAGAGATCTACTGTACAGCCTTGTTTCTGTGGACTATGACACTCTGCTGTATACTTACAAGCCTGTTAGGAGGATAGATCTCATATTAAATGTCCTCACTAAAATTTTTTTACAAAGGTGGTAAAAGGAGGTAGGTACCTAAAGAGAAAGATTTTAAAAGAGGACATTTGTATAATTCAGAAACATTAAAGTACTTTGAATTAGCAAAATAATTTAATAAATAACTTTCAAAATAATTCAGTAAATACATTTCAATATTAACTGCCTTAATACTGTCAAAGGCAAGAAATGTACTTTTTAAAAAATTGTCTTATCTGTTTTTCTAAATTTTATTTTTTGTTTCGTTTTTAAATGTATGTGGCACCATCCCTTGTACAAAGCGGGGGGCTTAAAATGTTTATGAAATCAATAAATTAACTAATGAATAATAATGGTTTGTGTCTTTTCCCTCATAATAAATTACATCAGGTACAGGAAAACTACACTTTCCTTTAAAAACATCCCATTCCCTTTTCTGTGCACTGAGAAAACTCTCTCCTCACACAGCCTTCATTAAAGAGATCACCTGGCCTCATTCATAGCACAGCTATGGTGCAGAAAATTGCACCTCTCTTTTTTGTCTCAATGAAGGATGAGTGAATATGGGTAGCCTGGAAGTTGTATGTTCCTTGGACTTTTCAGCAAAGAGACTATAATGATCATATATAATGCCTACTTTCTCTTCCTGCTAATGGGGACCTGGAAAGGGAAGGCCATGTGAGATGACAAATCTGCAGAGTGGGGACAGTGGGCAGAGGTGTTGGAGGAACAGACTTCAGGCAGTTATGTTCTTTTCAATTAACTATTTATTGATACATATTAGATGTACATATTTTTTAAGTAGATGTGATCATTGATACATTAATATAATCAAATCATGGTCATTGGAATAGGTATCACTTTAAATATTTGTCTTTTCTTTACCTTAGGAACATTTGAATTATTCTCTTCTAGCTATTTTGAAATGCACAATTGGTTGATGTTAACTACAGTCACCTCACTACTGATCTATCCAACGCTAGATCTGGTTTCTTCCATCTAAGGGTATATGAGACCCAGGAAAGCTGTTTTAGTCAAAAGTATGCACAGTTAGATAACACTTATTTTGCATGATTTCTGTCAGAATCAAAACAGATCTCATAAAGAAGCAGCAGAGGTAACTTGGGAAAGGCCTGTTGGATCACCAGATCCTGAGTCCCTCTGGCTGCCAGCATCCCTTTCGTGGTCTTTTTCTGAGTGGAGGCAGGAATGTTTGGGCATTTCCATAGGAAACTTGCCTTTCTATTTACCTCCTCTGCAGGCCATCCTTTGCCCACTGTACCCTTAGGCGGGTCCCTGGCTCTGCTATCCCATGTATCATTCCTGCCCTGAAGGGTCCCAAAAGTAAAGGTGGAGCAGGTGGAACACAGTGTCCACATGTCCATGTCACACCTTACTTTGCCCACCGCTGTCCCTGCCCTGACACTGATTCCCAAGCCCTTGATGCCCCAGCCCCTTCACCGTCCACTGGCCAGACAGACACAGAGACACTCTCTTGTTGGTACAAACTGAGGCCTTTCACACCCCTACCCTTCCCCGGACAGTGAGAGATCTGTGTTTAACTCAGAACCCACTCTGAACTCAAATGGCCCCCACCTGATGCTAGCAGGCAAGCCAGGCATTATCTTCAGCCTTCTGGGTCACCTGCCCTCCCCTCCCCAGGGTTCCCAGCAGCATTGCAGAGACACAGCGCCTCCAAGTGGCTATAGATCCATAGTCTCAGAGATTAACACCTTATGACCTTATGAGCTCTAGATTGTCCAAATCAGTAACAGAGACCCTGCATCCCACTCCTACAACCCCCACACTCTCACATACACCCTCTCTAAGCTTTCCCAGATAAGCCAATTTAGGGTTAATGTTTAAATCCTCCCTTAGCCAGTGGAGACAAAAGCGTGCATTAACCATTTTGATTGCAAAATTAATAGTTGTTACGTCATTGCAATTTGTATGATAAGGTGGAAGAGAAGAGCCTGAATAAGACGAGGCTTAGAATTAAACAGCGTGAAGATATCCAGCAGAATGATCTTGGAAAAATACTTAATATCTCCTTTTGATTTATAAGATGCATGTGTCTTCACATTTTGTATTTAGAGTCATTATTACCAAATATAGTGCATTTAATAAAAGGGGCTTCCAGTTTTTACATATTTGATTCTGAATTTATAAAAAGTTTTGAAATAAACAACCCTATTGGCTATAGCTTAGGCAGATTGAGTGGTCTGACGTTTCCCATCACTAGCCAGAAGTGCCTACGAGCTCCCCCAGTGACCCAGTGCCTCTTAGTAATGCAATCCAAAGATAAACTATTTTCATGTGGATGAATCTGCAGGAGAAAATGCACACACATACACACTCACACACAGACACAACACACAAATACACTCACACACACACACACACACACGGTATCTTCTTATTGCAAGGATGATAAGATTGTCTTACTGAGCACAGCAAATTTTTCTCTCAGCGTTTTAGGTTGGTTTCTGGGATGCACCCCTGATAATGTTTCCAGACACACAAAGATGTGGTTTTGGAAAAGCGTGGTTGTGGTGAGGAATTTCTTTTACTGGATCATGGGACTGGATAAATATTATTATAACATAAATTTCTTTGTTCCGAATGGACATTTGTGAATTCCAGCTTTAGATACAGTTATGGTACTGGGTAGTACTGCTCATTAATCCTGATTGGGAAAACACATTTGCTTGGAATATTGCAGAAATTGTATGGAAAATTGAGACAAGCCATAATGACTCTCTGTTATATTTCAGGTAAAAGGAGCCCCTTTTGAAGGGAAAACAGTAATAGATAATATTTCAGAGCTCTGTATAAATGGACATTAATTTATTCATTTCACAAACATCAAGTAGTATCAATTAGATACCCTGAATTTTCCTCTGAATGTAAAGGAAAGAGAATGATACACTACATACAGTACCAGGGAATGTCAGGGTAAGAAGCAAAGAGGAAGGGAGATGTCAGTCAGTCCTTGATAGATGAGCAGTGTCTGGCCTTGTTTGGGGAGAATACAGTTTGTTCCAGGCTGTGGAAATAGCACAAATACACAGGATGTTAAAGCCTGTAAAATCTCTAGAGCCTGTAATTTCCTAACCTGCTGTATTTCCTGCACAACCACACTTGCCTTTCTCTACGCAGATGAACTTTAGAAGACGGGCCCTGGGAAAGTGGGGTGAGCCGAGTCAGAGCTCTGGAAGCTTCAAACGTTTCCATTCCTTGTACCATCTGTCAGTATTTAATTTTTTACCCCCCATTCTTGGCAAATGCTAATTTTTTTTAAATAATGTTTTTAAAGTAATCATATATTTTGTCATTTTTGTAACACACAGCACTGCCAATCAGGCATGAGATGAGCCTATAAGTTAATTTCATAATTTCACAGAACTTTACTATTATTTCATCTCCGGAAAGACGTGAGTCAATTTCCTTATCATATATAGCTTGGGTCATGTGCATAATTTCCTGTCATTTTCAAAAAATATGAAAAAGAAATTGAGGACCTCGATATTATCTTTGAAAACATTAGGTTAGGGACTGCTACGCTAGCCAGTTCTCACCTCCTAACCTCTTTGTCTCTCTTTCCATCTATGATCCCTTGATTCCCCTGGAGCTGTTCTGTCCAAAGATTCTAAAGATAAATTGGAATTACCAGATGATTTTATTCTTTCTTACACGGTCTATCTGTAGTCCACTCCGGAACAGCCAGCTCTGAACAATTTTGTTTTGCATTTGTCTCTTCAAATCTATTTATTGATTCACTGATTCAAAACATGTGATTTTTAATACCTTCCTTGTCAGATATACAATGTCAGGATTAATGGATAAAATATCCAACAAAGTGCCAACCCGCAGAAAGCTCAAAGCTGAGAAAGATATGCATTTATTTAGTAGATATTTACTATAAGCATGGAAGCAACTCTTAAAAACACTGTAGGTGTTCAAAAGTGAAGTCAAGGAAGTGAGGAGCCAAGCCAATGTAAAAATGGTCTATGTGATGAGTAGTCATTAAGAATGATGACAAGATTAGTAGCAGACAGAAGGATAGAATGAGAAGAGAGTTCTGAAGGGAAAGAAGCAAGTGCAGCAAAGAAGGGTCCTGTTCTCACGTCATGTGTGTAAAGGAGCTGGGCTTCAAAGGAGGAAGGAAAATGATCTGGAGGCAGCAGAGAGAAGCCCGAAGAGCAAGGAAGACACCAAAACAATATATAAACACAGAGTAGGTCTCCCGATGTACATTAAAGAATACCCTGAATTTCATTCCGCATCATTCTAATCTTGAAAGTCTTGGCCTTTGAATAACAAAATAGGACAGTGACAAGTGAAACCTGGGCCTCTATGGAAGAACTCGGGTAAACCCAAATTGTCTTGGGCAGGCAAAATACAGGCACATTTTGCAGCAGTTGCCGATGATACACTGATAGGGGTTGAGAAATAATCAGTGTGTAAATACTACTAGAGAAGAAAGACATTATAACTCTTCATGATAAATTGTGAGTGCTGTGTAGAAATGTGTGGCATAAACCAGAAAAAAAAAAAAATACAGATTTGGCCATTCAGGACGCAGCATCAGGGAGGAAAGAGGGCACAGTAAGACTGGCCAGGCCTGTGTATGTTTTTTAACTTTATTTATTTATTTTTTGTGTGTGATTCGGGGTCTTACTCTGTTGCAACGATCATGACTCACTCCAGTCTCGAACTTCAGGGCTCAAGCAATCCTCTCAACTCAGCCTCCTGAGTAGCTAAGGCTGCCATACCAGGCTACTTTTTAGTATATATATATTTTTAGAGACAAAATCTCACTGTTTCCCAGCCTAGTCTTGAACTCCTCACCTCAAGCGATCCTCCTGCCTCAGCCTCCCAAAGTGCTGAGGTTATAGGCATGAGCCACCATACCCGGCCCTGTGTGCTTTTAGACACCCTGTGTATATTCATATTAATAGTTCCAGAACAGGCAGTGAAGGAGATCTCATCAGTGTCCTGTGAGTGCACACAGACCTTTAGCTAGCACCTGGTTTGCCTTATGCAAGATAGAAACAAATGGATCCCTGTAGGCCAAGAGGGGTAGCTTACTTCTAATGTATTAAACTGCCCGTATTATCCATATTGAAAATCTCTTTAAGTGTAATGTAAAAATCCATATATAAATGTTAAATTGAAATTAGCATTATAAAGGGATGTCCACAATCATAGAAAAGAACTTTCATTTATAATAAAGAGCACTTGTAGGGGAAATTTCTGTTCCTGGCTTAGAGTGAGAAGAGAGTGAAGTGGGCAGAGTAGTTCACGAGACATAGCCATTCTCAGGAGCTCCCACTGTTTGGATGGGGGTGGCAAATATAGGAAGGCAGGGAAACCTACAGTGTGGGTAATTAAGGTTTATCCTACCTGTGTGTGAGTTCTGACCCCACACACAATTTGTGAGAAATTTGCAAAACGCATTTTCTATATTATCTCCTACACAAGATTTTGTATGTTGATATTGTATCGTCTTCTGTCTTTGCCATGCTCCAAACCCACATAATTATTCTTGTGGGGAGGGTGAGGCAGGAAAGACTGCTCAGGATTGCTGGGAGCTGTGGGGAAAAGAGGAAGCACCAGAATTTCTGCACAGGGAAGGGGAGAGTCTGCAGTGCTATGGCTAAGCGACTTGCACAGACACACACGGCCGAGTCCCCCTGCTCTGTGGGCTGGATCTTCCAAGTAGAGAATGGTCCATCAGGCCTCTCAGCTGAGAATCCATCCATGGGCATACCTGCGTCATCTATAATAGATTGGCTCCAGAAGTAACTCAGCAATTCCAGTCCCTGCATGAAGGTCTGTCTGTACCAGAAAAGGAGATTGTGGCCTAAAACTGGCTCACATCTGAGAGTCACTGCTTGTCCCATTTCTGTCACCTCATGCTTGGGTGACTGGATAATGCCAACATCTGTGCATGCTATAAAAGAAGGCAAAATTAGGAAACAGAATAAGGAAAACACAGGAAGTCATCTAGACAGAGGCCCAGCATGAGGATGATAAATATGTGAGGACTCTCTCGCTACCAGGATACAAAGGGACACGCAGAGGGTCCAGGAGTCCATGGCAGAGTGAGAGCAGATGTGGCACATTCCAGACCAGGGCCCTTATGAACATGAGCGAAAAAAGATACTTTGGGACATTTTACCCCCACAAGACGCATCTGTCAGTGACATCACTGAATGGGCCACCACCCCCAACTTGAAAGCTCCTTTAAGTGGAGGCTACATTTTTGGGAGATGAATCAGGCAGGACTGAAGTCAGCTATAATTGATCTGAGATACAGAGGCACATTTGCAGAGGGTCCCTGTAGATTTGCTTTGATATTGTCAATTCATAGCACCTTCTC